GACACTGTTAAAAGTATATATTTTCTATATAAATTATATAAATTTTATTTCGTTCGGGGGGGCGGTAAAAAATTTTCGGGGGGGGCGAAGCCCCCCCGAAGAGATGCCTGGAAGAAACTCTGCTAGCCTGAGGATATTCGCATTCAAGGGACGCTAATCTGTTGGGATTGTGTACATTGGCGTGGTGACTGTTGACGTCACACTAGCTAAAGATGGACACGAAGTTGATAGAAAGTTGTAAAGGTGATTTCACAAGGAATCTATACAGTCTAATATAGAGAACACACACATACGTGCCTACACATAGGTACAGGCATAATATGTTTTAAAAACCTGCATAAAAACGCTAATGGGGTCTAAAATAAAATATTCCATCCATTTTGGAATCGAAAAATTGGTTGATTTAAGACCTGCAAGGTAGTCTGCGTAAGGATATATCTTTAGGCTGAAATAAAAGCTAGGAGTTCATATCCGGGCTCAAACCAGTAAAACATCCCTGAGTCCACTCAGCTCTGATGGGTACCTAGCTCACGTTAGCGACTTGGCATCGTGCTGACCACACTATCATTTCAAATATCGAGGCCACAGAAACAAGTGAACTCTACTTCACATGCCGCATAAACCGTCAGTGTACTGAAGTCAACCCGTAGTCCACGACCTAACCAATACCAAGTGACCTTACACAAGTTGATGAAAACCGTCTCCGGCTAGGGAAGTTGAGCCAACATAGAAGATATGAAATAATCAGCGGCAAATGTGTCACAAAGTTGTCAGTTCGTCACTTAATGAACACAACCCACGTTTGATGACTTAGGCTATATGTGTGTACACTAAGTCATGCATCAGTAAAAATGTTAATTAAAACGTTAATTAAAACGATTGAGGAAAGATAATTAGTTTTGTTTGCTAGGTCAGGGTTTTGATTACTGTAGTGTAAACGAATAGTGAAGTGTATTTGACGTGAGTAATCTAATGTACGTGAGTAATATAATGTACATTAGTGGTGGGTGTACATGAGGGGTGGAGTGTACATGAGTGGTGGAGCGTGCTGTCAGCCCTACCCCCCCCCCAACCTCTGAATCCTCCACCGTTTGTTAGCCCTACCTCCCCCCCCCCCAACTTCTGAATCCTCCACCGTTTGTTAGCCCCCCCCCCCCCCTCCCCCCGTCTGAATCCTCCACCTTTTGTCCTACACATTCAATAAGGAACTCCTACAAGAAATAGATCAGCCCATTATTCTGAAGTAGCTCTTCAATTGTAAGTCACCATTTTACAGCGCACTAAATCCACTAGTACAAAATAAAATCAAACGACTGTATCAAAATAAGTTCTTGCGTCAAATGATTTTATGTTGAAGTGCCCGCTACCTTTTAAAATGGTTGACGTACAATGAAACTTTCGCTTAAAGCAATTCTAATACAGTTTTTTTTAATTCGTCAAACGTTTAACTGTTTGATTACACTAACTGTAACACTTGAAGTTTGAAGGAGGGTGGGGGTGAAGATTTGTCTATGGAACCTTGGCGCTAGTGGAAGTGGTTATTGAAGGCTGATTTCCCCCCCCCCCCCCCCCACACACACACACATTATGGGGCGTCGTTTTACGTTGGTCGTCACGTCATATAGGTAGTTTTGTATTGGTCATTATGCAAATCACCAGGGGTCATGCTGTAATACTTACCGTTTCGGTTCGAGCAGTTCATAAGCAAGCGCATTGATGCGTGTCAAGATTTCACTATCCACCCCACCTGTCCGCGCTAGGTGAATGAACCACCTTGGTGTGGGGTGTGGAAGCACTGTGGAACCGCCACGATAAATCAAGTGTTGGTGTCAGTTGAAAACCTGTTGATCCGCTTCGGTCCTGAACTTTTCACGCTTGGCTGACTTCAAGCAGACGTTTGTAGAATGTAGCAGCAGACTTGAAAAAAAATCGAGAGCGGGACTTGACGTAATTGTTCGTTACCGTTACAAAATCTAAAGACCTTTGAAATTTGAATCTTTGAAGTGTGTCCAGAAATATCGGGGTCAGCATTTAAAAAGTTTTACAGTAATTTTTAGTTTAATGTTTTAAAGTCGGGTTGGGATTTTGTTGATAACTGCGAGTAGAATTTTTCTGCGGGATCTGTGGCTTAGGTGTGGTTTTGTTGGGATCTGATGACATTATGACGGTGACATTTCTAGACGGTGTCATTTTGTTGGATGTCATTTTGTGGGGCAAACAATATCAGAACGGGAGCTTTGGTTTCAACACGGTCGTCACGTGATAAGGTTTATTGTCATGTGATAGGGTTTATTAACACGTCTGTATGTCTGAGATAAATTTGTTGGATGTGTACAACTTTGTTTGTTGGATGTGTACAACTTTGTTTGTTGGATGTGTACGACTTTGTTTGTTGGATGTATACAACTTTGTTGGATGTATACAACTTTGTTGGATGTATACAACTTTGTTTGTTGGATGTATACAACTTTGTTTGTTGGATGTATACGACTTTGTTTGTTGGATGTGTACGACTTTGTTTGTTGGATGTATACAACTTTGTTGGATGTATACAACTTTGTTTGTTGGATGTGTACAACTTTGTTTGTTGGATGTGTACAACTTTGTTTGTTGGATGTGTACAACTTTGTTTGTTGGATGTGTAAAACTTTGTTTGTTGGATGTATACAACTTTGTTTGTTAGATGTGTACAACTTTGTTTGTTGGATGTGTACAACTTTGTTTGTTGGATGTATACAACTTTGTTGGATGTATACAACTTTGTTTGTTCGATGTATACAACTTTGTTTGTTGGATGTGTACAACTTTGTTTGTTGGATGTGTACAACTTTGTTTGTTGGATGTGTACAACTTTGTTTGTTGGATGTGTACAACTTTGTTTGTTGGATGTGTACAACTTTGTTTGTTGGATGTGTAAAACTTTGTTTGTTGGATGTATACAACTTTGTTTGTTAGATGTGTACGACTTTGTTTGTTGGATGTATACAACTTTGTTTGTTAGATGTGTACGACTTTGTTTGTTAGATGTGTACAACTTTGTTTGTTGGATGTGTAAAACTTTGTTTGTTGGATGTATACAACTTTGTTTGTTAGATGTGTACAACTTTGTTTGTTGGATGTGTAAAACTTTTTATTTGGATGTATACAACTTTGTTCGATGTATACAAATTTGTTGAATGTATACAACTTTGTTCGATGTATACAACTTTGTTGGATGTGTACAACTTTGTTTGTTGGATCTATATAATAATTGAATGAAATCAAATGGTATGTGATGTGGCGGGTGGTCAACTTTCAGAGTGTATGTTGATACCTTAAGCACATGCTGTGCTTAAAGTTAACTAAGGTTAAAGTTAGTCCATGCATTATTCATGGTTTTTGTGGATGTGTCTAGATATGATTTTAATAGTGATACTAAACCACATGTTATGTTGCAGTGATACTAAACCACACGTTATATTGTAGTGATACTAAACCTCCTGTTGTGTTGTGATATAGGTAGCCACAAATAGCGAAGAGCAGAAAACGATCACCATATTAATCCAGATATTGTTATGCAATTATCACCATGATAATCCGTGGCGACACCTTCATAATCCACCTGCTAATCCAGCAGCATGATAATGCTGTTATCTACAAGTTATCTCTAGGAACAAAACGAGCCACGCCCCCCTGTTATCTATATAACTTATCACCTGAAGTGAAACACCTGGGCAGATTTTGAATGACACACCTGTAGTCTAACTGGCGATCTTTTTGTTTTCATAAACTCTAGTCTCTCGTCGTAGTTAGGTTTGTTGTCAAGTTTGAGTACACATGACCTAGATGCCGAGGTCAGGGTGTGGGTCAGACCTTCGTGTGGTGTGTGGATAGGTGTGGGGAGCTGTGGTGTGTGGAGAACTGAGGCGTCGCGAGGCGGGGTCGGGGGGTGCGGATCGCACCGGGTGACACCATTTAGGGGGTGACACCAAGACCAAAAATTGAAAAATGTATAATAGAAAAATGCTTCTTGCCAGTTTAATTAATTATAACTTATAAGTCTTATTAAGTGCAAATCAGGGGGTGACACCTGAAAGTAACCTGCCAATTATTGAGAAAACAATTTTACATATATATAAACTGATACTTTTTTGTTGGGGGGGGTGACACCATTAGGTGCCGCACCGGGTGACACCCGACCTAGCGACGCCCCTGGTGGTGAGGTGTGGATAAATGTGGTGTGTGGCTTGGCTAGGTGAACGAACTGATCTATCTGACCGGACGAGTAAACAAAGATGTGAAGCACATCACGTGACATCAAACGGTGGACGTGACCCTAACATCGCGATAGTACACTTTTACTGTGGTGGGGGGGGGGGGCAAGCTGCCGTTGCCCGTGGGTGGCATTTCATCTGTCCCCCTATATATATATGCCGTCTGGGAGGTCGTGAGTGCAGTCACACGCCACTGTCTTCAACATATGGACAATTTTTTTAACATTAGTTGAACAAGTCGTGGTAGCGTCTAGAGACAGATGTTGGTTTGTTTTTAAAGTTTGGAATTAATTGAAAACTTGGAGCCGTATATTATAGCAGTTTTAAATCTGAAGCCGTAAAATGTAGCCGTGCTTAAATCTGAAGCCGTAAAATGTAGCCGTGCTTAAACTCTGAGCCGTAGAATGTAGCAGCTTTTGATACGTGGACATTGAGCATGTTTTATAACGCAATACTTTAAAACTTTGTTTTTAGAAACCGTTTTAACGTCGCGATATTTGCTACACTAAAAAACGCGTTCTGCATTCTTAAGTCGTGGTAAAACTTAGTAAAAGGATAAGTAATTCATGGGTTAGTTTTAGCGTTATACATACCAATGTATAGTGCTGGGTGCAGGGTGTTGGGGGGGGGGAGACAAGGCGGATGGGCAGGGTGTAGGGGGGAGGTGGCAGAGTGTAGGTGACAGGGTGAAGGACGGAGGGCGTATGTTGGAGGATGTACGGCGCAGGTTGAGGAACTAAATCTGACTGCCGTTTTGTGTTGACTGATTGAAAACTGTGAATATGAACGTGTTTACAGTGTGTGACAAGTCCGCTATTTTTAGACGGTTTCTCCACTTGAATGTGTTGAACTGTGTTACCGTAGATCTACTGATATGTGACTGGCCTGGACGGCATAAGCAGAGACCCATTCGTTAAATCACTTGCCTGGGCTAGAGGCTATCCAAGGACTTGATTCGGTGAGACTGTGTAACTGACATGTGCCACTGACATGTGCCACTGACATGTGCCACTGACACAGATGACATGTAGCACAACCCCGGATTGACAGTATGTGTTACAGCAAAGAAACTGGATTAACGTTTGGATTGAAACAATGGGATTAGCGAGCGAATTATAACAATGGGATTAACAAAAGCCCGAGGTGGGTATTAGTTTTTGTTTTGTTAAGTCTATGATAGAGCTACAGATTGTGCATCAGACCAGCATACAAAACAACAACAGCAGACAGTAGCGGCGTGTTGTCGTCGTGTTGTTTGTCGTGTTGTTGGTCGTCCACGTTCTGGATAAAGTTGGCCCGGTAAAGTAAAATGTTTTAAACTTTGATTCATTTACTTAGAGACCGTCAGTGTACACCATAGTCACGTGTCACCCGTAATGCCATTGACGCTTTCTTTATTATATATTTAAAGGAAAAAGTGATGTACTCATTTTAGTGTAATTTTATAAAAGCTAATTAGTATAAACGTTCTTTTAAAATTTTATTTTCAAAACTATTTTTAAATTTTAAATTTTCATAGAAGCGTCTCTATCTAAAGAGGGTTGTGCACAGAATGAACGCAACCTATATATATATATATATATATATATATATATATATATATATATATATATATATATATATATATATATATATTATAATAGCGCGGAAAATTAGTGCTTTATATTATTTATAAAGGAAACTTTAGTCTATTTAAAATTATATTAAACATCTAATTAAATCTAATTTAATGAACATTTCATTGTCATCGGGCTTGAACTCGGTGTCAGGTTTTAAAGAAATCGGTTCAGTAGAAGTGGTCGAAAGTATGCTCGCGAGTTTTGACCAATGACGAAGCAAGTAAAAACAATAAAGCTCGACGAATCGTGTTACATAAAAAGCTTCTAAATAAACAGTAAATATTAAATTACGAAATAAGTTTTCTCAAACTTTCTTAAACTCCAGACTTTGATATTTGCGCTCTATTCTTTGGCCACGTCGGTCCCAGCAGCAAATATGAACATCAACGTCAAATCCTGATAGCAGCAGCAAATGTTGACACTGACATCAAATCCTGATAGCAGCAGCAAATGTTAACACTGACATCAAATCCTGATAGCAGCAGCAAATGTTGACACTGACATTATATCCTGACAACTATTGACTACAGAGGCAAATACTGACATTGACACCCCATCCTGTATGTCTTGCGACACCCCATACTGACAGTCTCAAGTCTTAAGACACCACGCAGATGTCTGTGTTGAGTGTGAAACTATAAACTACGTATGATATCAAAGACTGCACTGATCCAAGTATTTCCTGTTTACTATAGACCAGATAACAATTGTAAACACTGAGACAATAAACTACCAGTTGTATTATCTACGTCAGACAGCTGGGAATAAATCTCGCGAGAGTGACGTGTTTGATCTAACTGGTGCAAAAGTTAAGCTAGGATTAAATCCTTTTGTTTATTGTTGCTATTTTAAGGAGGTCTAGTACACCACCCCGCCCACACACACACACGACATTTATTTTTTATCTTTTAGTTCACATAAAAACTGTCAACCAAATTTGAACTTTTTGTTATTCTGAGTTCCATATCAGGCGATTCCAGAGTTCAAAGACATTGAATGTAAGATTCCGCTTTTATCTTAAAGACATAGGCGTATCGTGCGTCAATGATTTATGAAAATGTTGAATACGGAAATAGACGGCCGGATGACACAAAATGTACCGGAATATAATTCTGGTGAAATACCAGACCAGCCTCCACACAGGCAGGAACAGACACCGCCCACTTTAAGAAACTTTATAAACGGCTGCACCGTTCACACTGTTCACACATTTCAAAACATTTCTCGCGTTCACGTCCATCTGACCACCAAGTGACAGACATTTTAATCTGATCGAATTTTAAACTCCTGAGCTTATTTTAATCTGATCGAATGTTAAACTCCTGAGCTTATTTAGTTTTATGTTATTGTTAAAATACCAGATTGTGTCAGCCGTTGACTGAAGATTCAGACATGCGCAGTCCTCACATCAAGCTCGCCGTCCACTTCCTGTTGTCGATGACGTCCTTGACCTTTGTCCAGTTACCGGCGTCAGATGGCACTCTCTACTGGTCACGTGACGATTTATTTACACTGAGGGGCAACTACACCTGGGGCTCCAGCATCAACAAGACACGCTTCACTGAGCAGGAGAAGAATTTGATCCTACAGATCAGTAACGCCTACAGGAGTATGGTGTTTCCTAGAGCTGTTGGGATGAAGGAGTTGGTGAGTGGGGGTCTTTGTGTGGGGGTCTTTGTGCGTGGTCTGTGTGTGGGGGTATGTGTGTGGGGGTCTTTGTGGGGGTCTTTGTGAGTGGGTCTTTGTGTGTGGCGGTCTATGTGTGAAGGTTTTTGTCGGGAGAGCTTTAACTTGGGATCTTGGGGATTTTTGTGAGTAGGTTGTGTCTTTGCATAAGTGTAACGTGGTTCTTTGTGTATAGGCTAATGGAATGGGAGCCATGAGTCATGAAGAACCTTTGTCCTAAGTGATTGCAATGTGTAGAACTGTTTTATCCGTACAGATTTGGGACAGCCAGTACGAAGACTACGCCTACAACCACACCCAGAAATGTACCGGCGCCCACAGCTCTGGAACCATCAACTACGTCACAACTTTCCCCAAGGTATACACGACAACCTACAGGCTGAGGGGAGAAGTGCTCTACTATAGATACGGTTGGTGCCCTTTTAAAACATGAATCTACATCCGTGGGTTGCTATTTTAATGGGCTAATATTTGTTCCGTCCATCATTTCCCTAACTACTCCCTAGGTCACGCGCGTAGACTCTTTGATTGGCCGACCTTTCTCCATCTAGTACCCTCTCTCGTAGATGATCCATCAGCCTCTCCTATAGAAGCTCCATCAATCGGCCTCTCATATAGGAAGCTCCACCAATCAGCCTCTCCTATAGAAGCTCCACCATTCAGCCTCTCCAATAGAAGCTCCACCAATCAGCCTCTCCTATAGAAGCTCCACCAATCAGCCCCTCCTATAGAAGCTCCACCAATCAGCCTCTCCTATAGAAGCTCCACCAATCAGCCTCTCCTATAGAAGCTCCACCAATCAGCCTCTCCTATAGAAGTTCCACGAGCCTCTCCTATAGAAGCTCCACCAATCAGCCTCTCCTATAGATGCTCCATCCACCAGCCTCTCCTATAGAAGCTCCACCAATCAGCCTCTCCTATAGAAGCTCCACCAATCAGCCTCTCCTATAGAAGTTCCACGAGCCTCTCCTATAGAAGCTCCACCAATCAGCCTCTCCTATAGAAGCTCCACCAATCAGCCTCTCCTATAGAAGCTCCACCAATCAGCCTCTCCTATAGAAGCTCCAACAATCAGCCTCTCCTATAGAATCTCCACCAATCAGCCTCTCCAATAGAAGCTCCACCAATCAGCCCCTATTATAGATGCCCCTTTCTATACGCCAGTTAATCCAAGCAAACGTTCTTCCATTGTTTTAATCTGACAGACTCAGCCTACAGCATCGAAGAAGCGTTTTACATGTTCTGGGCGGAGGGATTGAAGTACGACATTTACACGGATGGTTGCACCCACCCCCAAACATGCGGGCACTACAGAGTGGTAAGGGATTATTTATACGTATACACGGGACTTTTACGTATACACGGGTGCCTTGAGATACAAAGTCGCTCTGTAACCGTGATTGTATGTCAGTTTGCTCGTATATCAAAACAATTTTCACCATTGGAATTAATTAAAACGCCACTAGTACGTTCCGGCCCCCTAATGGTACCCCAGTTATTTTTTTAACCTGTTTTTGTGTAAGAAAAATATGAATTGTCAAGTTTCTGTACATTTTTTTCTATATTTTTTTTTCCGCTAAATTTTGAAAGACTTTCTCTCAGACGAATCTCGCCCCTCAAATGTTTCTCGCCCCTCAAATATTTCTCGTCTTTCAAATTAAAACATACATATTTAACACATTTGACCAACAAAAGGTCAGTAAGAATACGAGAGACTGAAAGACTCAAGGGAAGCCACCATGAATTTTGTATCATATTTTATTCAACACTAGTCATCGGTGAAGTATAGACCTATATTAAAATGTTATACTTGTTTGAGAAATATATTTTATTAAATAGTTATTGGTCAAAACGCAATGTACCTTACTACACGTTGAACGATTTTAACGACAAAGCATAGAAATAAGTAAATAGCTAAAAATCCGACACATTAAAAATTTGATATAACAGGCTATTTATACCAATTAGAAAAATTAAAACCAAACTATATACATTATTAGTCAACACCACAACATATTAATTGCATATACTGATTAAGAGACTTAAATTATTCCGTTAAAATCCAGGCTGTTCTATGGTATTTATGTAGTTTTTTAAACTAATTTTTATTTTCATCATCTTTGGCGGAGAAATTTGTATAAATTTCATAGCGTACGTCTTGATAAGTAGATCTATATCTAAATCGAATTTGAACGAAATAGCTCATTTCTTCATATTCTAAAATTGGAAGCTATAGGAGGCGATTCTTAATGAAAATGATGTCATTAATATTGTTTATCATTTTCGACATGCTATTTTTTATTCTTCAATCAATGACGCACATTCTAGCTCGTTCATGTTTCTTTGTGTTCTGTTAGTGAACTATTTTTACCCCTCCATTCTGAACAGCTAATGAACGAGGTATCCTACAGAATGGGATGTGCTTTGAACTTGTGCAAAAAGTTCACAGAGAGCACCTACCCAACACCAACCACGTTCATAATGTGCAGCTATGATGGCCAGTAAGTTACTTCCCTTTGGCTTATTTCTTTGTACTAATAAAACAGCCTTTAAAGAAAATTCAAAAAATTCAAAGAAATATTTTTTTGTGTATAGTAAGAAAATTTTGTCAAGCATTTCAAGAATTTCAAACAATAAAATTATTTTTATTTTAAACAAATTTTAAAATTAAGATGAAGGCAGGTGCCTAGTATTAAAAAATAAATTTACACCTACTAGTTAAAATACCAACTTCATCATCTCTACTACAACCCCAATTTAATTTATCTGATGGACTGACCGGTCCCCACCACCACCTTAATATCACCACTAATCTCACCCCCACCTTAATCTCCCCACCAGGTACACCACTAATCTCACCCCCAACCCACCTTAATCTCCCCACCAGGTACACCACTAATCCCACCCCCACCTTAATCTCCCCACCAGGTACACCACTAATCTCACCCCCACCTTAATCTCCCCACCAGGTACACCACTAATCTCACCCCCCACCCCCACCTTAATCTCCCCACCAGGTACACCACTAATCTCACCCCCACCCCCACCTTAATCTCCCCACCAGGTACACCACTAATCTCACCCCCCACCCCCAACTTAATCTCCCCACCAGGTACACCACTAATCTCACCCCCACCTTAATCCCCAACCAGGTACATCACTAATCTCACCCCGCACCCTCACCTTAATCTCCCCACCAGGTACACCACTAATCTCACCCCAACCTTAATCTCCCCACCAGGTACACCACTAATCTCACCCCCCACCTTAATCTCCCCACCAGGTACACCACTAATCTCACCCCAACCTTAATCTCCCCACCAGGTACACCACTAATCTCACCCCCACCTTAATCCCCAACCAGGTACATCACTAATCTCACCCCGCACCCTCACCTTAATCTCCCCACCAGGTACACCACTAATCTCACCCCAACCTTAATCTCCCCACCAGGTACACCACTAATCTCACCCCCACCTTAATCTCCCCACCAGGTACACCACTGACGTCAAACCCTACACTGTCGGACCTGCCGGCTCCAACTGTGAAAACATGGGCTACTCGTTTCAATACATCAGGAACAATCTCTGTAGTAAGTTGGGAACAATCTCTGTAGTAAGTTGGGAACAATCTCTGTAGTAAGTTGGGAACTATCTCTGTAGTAAGTTGGGAACAATCTCTGTAGTAAGTTGGGAACAATCTCTGTAGTAAGTTGGGAACTATCTCTGTAGTAAGTTGGGAACAATCTCTGTAGTAAGTTGGGAACAATCTCTGTAGTAAGTTGGGAACAATCTCTGTAGTAAGTTGGGAACAATCTCTGTAGTAAGTTGGGAACAATCTCTGTAGTAAGTTGGGAACAATCCCTGTAGTAAGTTGGGAACAATCTCTGTAGTAAGTTGGGAACAATCTCTGTAGTAAGTTGGGAACAATCTCTGTAGTAAGTTGGGAACAATCCCTGTAGTAAGTTGGGAACAATCTCTGTAGTAAGTTGGGAACTATCTCTGTAGTAAGTTGGGAACTATCTCTGTAGTAAGTTGGGAACAATCTCTGTAGTAAGTTGGGAACAATCTCTGTAGTAAGTTGGGAACAATCTCTGTAGTAAGTTGGGAACAATCTCTGTAGTAAGTTGGGAACAATCTCTGTAGTAAGTTGGGAACAATCTCTGTAGTAAGTTGGGAACAATCTCTGTAGTAAGTTGGGAACAATCTATGTAGTAAGTTGGGAACAATCTCTGTAGTAAGTTGGGAACAATCTCTGTAGTAAGTTGGGAACAATCTCTGTAGTAATTTGGGTGTTTGTCATCATTGTTTATACTTGAACGGGTTTGGAGGTCGGTAACTAATGGGTGTGGGATTCAGTGACCTTTCAACTCTGTTGTGTCAAAGATTCTAAACAAAAGTGGTCTGCAACTTATCACATTATACAAAACATTCCATTGGCGGTTTTAAGAAATATAGCACATGATAAAATCACGGTCTCAATTTTTTTAAGCCATGTTTAGTGAAATTTAATTTTATACAAATAAAATCTTCCATACAGACCAAGAATTGCTATCACCACTGCTTCCCCCGTCCCCCTGCTTCTCTCCCTCCCCCCCCCCCCCTCCACATTTTCTACCTTGTGATACGTTTTTATCTGCAGTCAGTCCCAACATGAGGTTATTTAAAACCGGCTACGACGGCAACACAACTGTGCTAGGATTTGATTACAACGACGTCGTTATGGTGGAGGAGATGAACCTCACCACACCAGCCCAGACTACACCACCAGCTACAGCAACATCAGCAGGTAGCAATGTATCTGAGGCTACATCATATTTAACCACGCCTACATCAACCGAATCACAATCAACTACAACATCAGTAACAACAACCCGAACTTTAACAGCAACAAGTACACGCACAACATCAACTGCTACACAAATAACAACCACACAAGGACCAACAAGCACACCACTAACAACAAGTACTATAGTAACACCAACAGCAACCACACCAACAACAACAACCACACCAACAACCACACCACCAACAACCACACCACCACCAACAACAACAGCAACCACACCAACAACCACACCAACAACCACACCAACAACAACCACACCACCAAGAACAACAACAACCATGCCAACAAAAACAACCACACCACCACCAACAACAACAACAACCACACCACCACCACCAACAACAACCACACCAACAACAACTACACCACCACCAACAACAACCACACCAACAACAACAACAACCACACCACCACCAACAACAACCACACCAACAACCACACCACCAACAACAACTACACCACCACCAACAACAACCACACCAGCACCAACAACAACCACACCACCACCAACAACAACCACACCAACAACCACACCACCAACAACAACCACACCACCAACAACAACAACCACACCACCACCAACAACAACCACACCAACAACCACACCACCAACAACAACAACAACCACACCAACAACCACACCAACAACCACACCAACAACAACCACACCACCAAGAACAATAACAACCACACCAACAACAACCACACCACCACCAACAACAACAACCACACCAACAACAACTACCACACCAACAACCACACCACCAACAACAACAACAACCACACCAACAACCACACCAACAACCACACCAACAACAACAACAACCACACCACCACCAACAACAATAACCACACCAACAACCACACCAACAACCACACCACCACCAACAACAACAACCACACCAACAACCACACCAACAACCACACCAACAACAACAACAACCACACAAACCACAAGTACAAGCAGAACGACCACAACACCAACAACCACACCAATAAAAACGACAACAACCATACCAACAACTACGCCAACACCACCAACAGCTACCAACCCGACAATAACACTTTTACCAACAACTATAACCCAAACATCTACAAATTTACCCTCCACATCACCAACATTGATCTTTACAACATCAATTCCAAGTTCACCATCACCCACCTACATCTTATCTTCTCCGCCCTCCCCCTCCACCCCCCTAACAGACCAGCAAACGACCAGGTCTGACCAAGGTGTGACCTACAAACGTACCGTCAATGACGCTAATCACAACAGACTAGCTGTTGCCCTCTGGGTGATTATCCCGTCCCTCACACTAAACTCTCTCTTATCCCGTCCCTCACGCTAAACTCTCTCTTATCCCGTCCCTCACACTAAACTCTCTCTTATCCCGTCCCTCACACTAAACTCTCTTTTATCTTGACAAAAAATAGAACCTTGAAACTTCTCGAAACTTCTCGCTCGAAGAATCTCAGAACAGAAAATTGAATACCAACCCGCTGACCAAGTCGATAATTTTTTTGTATCGATAAAAACATTCTTACAGTAACCAACTGAATCCCAAAGTCAAATCTGGTTATGTATGCCATGAAAAAAATCGGCTAAAGTTTTAATTCCTAAAACTCGTCTGATTAGAGAGATGAATATGATAATCGTCTATTTGACACAGGTGGTCAGTTGGTCATCTCATGATTTTTTTCAGCTTAGATTATCAAACCAGGAGAACTGGTCATCAAATCTTTCGTCCTCTCCGTCATTTCCTGATAAACCATCAGATCTAATTAATATTGATCCCCTAAACCAGGGTCTCCAAACTACGGCCCGCGGGCCGGATGCGGCCCTCGAAGTCCTCTCATCCGGCCCGCGGAGATCTTTTTGACCAAGAAAAAATAGTTTGTTGGTGATGGCTGAGGAACTTTGCCCAGAAAAATCAAAGACATGCCTGAAAGAAACTGGCCCCCGAATTGAAATTTGATAGTTAATGCGGCCCTCGGAATAAAAAGTTTGGAGACCCCTGCCCTAAACCATTTTAACGTGGCCTTCTGTTAGTCTTTTAACTCTTTATGTGTGTGTATGATCAAGGTGAATTAGTGTATAGAATCCTGGTCATCGGATCAACAACCTAATTATTCATAAATCGGATGTCTCATTCTAGGGTGTTGAACGGAAGTCGTCAGTGCGCATGTCAATCAGAAACTGAAACAACCAAGTCGATATATCTAGTCACGTTCGAATATTAAAACAATTTTAATGCAAATAAAAAAGGAAATTGTTTTCTTTCCTGTATTATCTTTTATTTTGATATATTGAGTTGTTTTTCTAATAGCAAATGCCATATTGAACTTTCCCCATAAAATGGAGTTTATCGTACTCTCGATTTTTGTTAAACAACAAAATATCAACAAATCATTCAAAGTGTGGATATGAGGTTTTATTTAATAGTGAATTTACTGCTTCATCAAGAAGGAAATAATTTTGACTAAATAATTAGACAATTTGAAAAAGAAAAAAAAATATCCTAGGTTGGCCTACGATGGCCTAAGATGGCCAAAGATGGCCTAAACTTTACCAATAGAAAGTGACTCAACAGCTCTAAGGATAAGAAAAAATAATTCACAAGCGAGAATACCCAAACAAATAGTTGATTTCAATACCTCATCCAGTAATGTAAGAAATGGTTGATGATGTCAATGCCCAATCCTTTTTATGTTGAAACACTAGCAATCCATATGTCCACTTAAGACCGTTAATTATTTTTTATGGTCAGCAACGGAGATCACATTATAGTCACCTTTATGATCAGTCTTATGGTCAGTCTTACGGTCACATTATGGTCAGTCGTATGGTCACATTATGGTCAGTCTTATGGTCACATTATGGCCAGTTTTACGGTCACATTAGTGATCCAACTATGTCCTTACCTGAATGAGCCAACTACGTCCTTGACATCATTTGTACACGTGTTCTTGAGATTGATGGACCAACTGTGTCCGTGGCCTAATTTGACCAACTGTGTCCATGGCCTAATTTGACTAACTGTGTCCGTGGCCTAATTTGACTAAACGTGTCCGTGGCCTAATTTGACTAACTGTGTCCATGGCCTAATTTGACTAACTGTGTCCATGGCCTAATTTGACTAACTGTGTCCATGGCCTAATTTGACTAACTGTGTCCGTGGCCTAATTTGACTAACTGTGTCCGTGGCCTAATTTGACTAACTGTGTCCATGGCCTAATTTGACTAACTGTGTCCATGGCCTAATTTGACTAACTGTGTCCGTGGCCTAATTTGACTAACTGTGTCCGTGGTCTAATTTGACCAACTGTGTCCATGGCCTAATTTGACCAACTGTGTCCGTGGCCTAATTTGACTAACTGTGTCCATGGCCTAATTTGACTAACTGTGTCCATGGCCTAATTTGACTAACTGTGTCCGTGGCCTAATTTGACTAACTGTGTCCATGGCCTAATTTGACCAACTGTGTCCGTGGCCTAATTTGACCAACTGTGTCCGTGGCCTAATTTGACTAACTGTGTCCATGGCCTAATTTGACCAACTGTTTCCGTGGCCTAATTTGACCAACTGTTTCCGTGGCCTAATTTGACCAACTGTGTCCATGGCCTAATTTGACCAACTGTGTCCATGGCCTAATTTGACCAACTGTGTCCATGGCCTAATTTGACTAACTGTGTCCATGGCCTAATTTGACCAACTGTGTCCCTGGCCTAATTTGACCAACTGTTTCCGTGGCCTAATTTGACCAACTGTGTCCATGGCCTAATTTGACCAACTGTGTCCATGGCCTAATTTGACCAACTGTGTCCATGGCCTAATTTGACTAACTGTGTCCATGGCCTAATTTGACCAACTGTGTCCATGGCCTAATTTGACCAACTGTTTCCGTGGCCTAATTTGACCAACTGTGTCCATGGCCTAATTTGACCAACTGTGTCCATGGCCTAATTTGACCAACTGTGTCCATGGCCTAATTTGACTAACTGTGTCCATGGCCTAATTTGACCAACTGTTTCCGTGGCCTAATTTGACCAACTGTGTCCATGGCCTAATTTGACTAACTGTGTCCATGGCCTAATTTGACCAACTGTGTCCATGGCCTAATTTGACCAACTGTTTCCGTGGCCTAATTTGACCAACTGTGTCCATGGCCTAATTTGACCAACTGTGTCCATGGCCTAATTTGACCAGCTGTGTCCATGGCCTAATTTGACCAACTGTTTCCGTGGCCTAATTTGACCAACTGTGTCCATGGCCTAATTTGACCAACTGTGTCCATGGCCTAATTTGACCAACTGTGTCCATGGCCTAATTTGACCAACTGTGTCCATGGCCTAATTTGACCAACTGTGTCCATGGCCTAATTTGACCAACTGTGTCCATGGCCTAATTTGACCAACTGTGTCCATGGCCTAATTTGACCAACTGTGTCCATGGCCTAATTTGACCAACTGTGTCCATGGCCTAATTTGACCAACTGTGTCCATGGCCTAATTTGACCAACTGTGTCCATGGCCTAATTTGACCAACTGTGTCCATGGCCTAATTTGACCAACTGTGTCCATGGCCTAATTTGACCAACTGTGTCCATGGCCTAATTTGACCAACTGTGTCCATGGCCTAATTTGACCAACTGTGTCCATGGCCTAATTTGACCAACTGTGTCCATGGCCTAATTTGACCAACTGTGTCCGTGGCCTAATTTGACCAACTGTGTCCGTGGCCTCTTTGGTCCCATTGTGTCCTTGACCTCCGTGATCCAGCTCTTTTCTTGACCTGTGGAGTTTTCCCTTGACCCTGACCTTCACACTCTCTGAGCTACTCCACTTACAGACCCACTAACCCGCTCATTACATCCTTACTTACATCACAATACCCATGAACTCATTCGCTACATCCTTACTTACATCACAATACCCATGACCTCATTCATAACATCCTTACTTACATCACAATACACGGACCCATGAACCCATTCATTACATTCTATATTTATACCATACCCTGCAGCTAAAGCCAAAAACAGCTAACTATAAAAATATGATGTTTTTTTTCACGCATTGCTTTATGTTATATACACTTATGGTGTACTTTTTGAAAAATGTATCCAGTTCTATTTATAATCTTAACATTAACAATATTTTGTAAATATGAATATTACAAATATGTAGCCTGTATGCTGGACATACATATACTACATTTAAATATATCTGCTACAAAGTGTGCTACATCCCTACTGCATGTAAATATATTCACATGCCCAATCTATGTGTACCTACCCTCAAGAATAAATACTGTACTTAATCAAACTCTCATTTTTATTTGTCTAAGACTGTAATCAAACCTACACATTCATGCATCATTTTTATTCTAAACCATTTTGTAACTCGACATTTTAAAACAATTTTAGGGGAACAATAATATGTTTATACATCTTTACACATACATGTCAACATATAACTAATATTTATCCCGCACCCTGATTTGATCTCATGTGCTTGCTTATATTTATTTGACGCTTGTGTATTGTTTCACTCATCTGTTAAAATTGCTTTAATTAATATGTAATCATTGTACATAATGGTGTAACATATAGGATTGTATTTAAGTTACAATTTAATGTAAAAACCTAGGGACCTATATATTTTATAATGCCGGATACTGTGTTACAAGAATAACATGTACGCAATTAAGTTGACCTATTCCCTCTAACCAATCCAAAAAGCAGGAATGTAGCCAAAAAAAAACTTATAGATTTCACTGTTATAAAACACTGTCGCCTTACCCCCGATATAGCACAAGAATAAAGTTATAAACTAACCCTTGCATTATACAACACGGAAAATTAACCATTATAATCGATACGTAATTATTAATTTTAAGGAACAAAAACTTGCTTTTATTGTAAGAGAGTTTTTCTATTTTTGTAAAACCATTTTTATAATTGAATATATTTATAATATTACCATAGTTTATACACACCACGATTATTTAGAATAACAAACTAAATCGTATTTTGTTATTTGTGTTGCGTTGTTCTATTTTCGGAGTAAAAATCTCAATTTGAATCCTCGACTATAAACAAATGTTGTCTTAAGCGTTGACTTCATACGGTGTGTCTACCTGTCTGAACATTATATAATTTAAGTAACACCAGGTAAAGGTGTTTTGATTTTATGTTGGTGATGACGTACGTTTGTTTTACGTCATTATCACACAAGTAACCTACTATGTACTTAAAAGTACCATGTAATAAATTTTAAAAATTCGTATTAAGAGTATACGAATTTTTTTTAATTTAAATCTATTTTGTGTAGAATATATATATTTTATTTTAAACTGAATGTTTATATCTGAAAACAGAAATTTAAAAACAAATGATGAATAAATAATGTTTAGTCCCAAACACTTTCGTTTATTTATTTTTTCGGCTTTTTTGTTCGCGAATATTTTCTTGTTCTTCACTTAGTTAATGTCGTCTTATAATTAATTTATTTTTTCGGCTTTTTTGTTCGCGAATATTTTCTTGTTCTTCACTTAGTTAATGTCGTCTTATAATTAATTTTTGGTCAGTGAAGTATTTTAGACTTTCTTTAGTGGATGGAGTATTTTGGACTTTGTTTAGTGGCTCGAGTATTTTGTACTTTGTTTAGTGACTCGAGTATTTTGTAGGTTTACCAATTCAGACTTTATTGGGTTGTTTGTTGTAAACTTCAAACAGTGGTTGTGGTAATTTAGAACGTGAGTAGTTCTGGGTGTTTAATAAATCAGTGAATTATCTCCCCATAACAACATGTCACACGTTTCGTTGATGACAATGGCAGGATTTATTTTACAAATGGACATGAAATTAAAATATAATGTACCTACCAGCATGTTGTGTTTAGAAACGTGTATGAAAGCTTAAGTATCATGTACCTACCAGCATGTTGTCTTTAAAAACATGTCTGAAAGCTTAAGTATCATGTACCTACCAGCATGTTGTCTTTAAAAACATGTCTGAAAGCTTAAGTATCATGTACCTACCAGCATGTTGTCTTTAAAAACGTGTATGAAAGCTTAAGTATCATGTACCTACCAGCATGTTGTCTTTAAAAACATGTCTGAAAGCTTAAGTATCATGTACCTACCAGCATGTTGTCTTTAAAAACGTGTATGAAAGCTTAAGTATCATGTACCTATCAGCATGTTGTGTTTAGAAACGTGTCTGAAAGCTTAAGTATCGTGTTCCTACCGGTATGTTGTATTTAAAAACTTGTATGAAAGCTTAAGTGTCTTGTACCTGCATGTTTATCTACCTTGCTTTGTCCACCCACCCCCACACCCCCACCCCTCTCCCACCCCCACAGCTTAACAAAATAACTGCTTTGTATGCCATTGTTGCTATATTCAAATAATACATATGTTGCATAGTATCTATTAATGCAAGAGATATCATATTGCAAAGTATAATGCTAGCTAATGATTAATTAAATGGTTGTCGATCGGTAATGTATAACATCACTTATGACAAGTGATGTATAACATCACTCATGGCTAATGATGTTTAACATCTTTTATGACTAATGATGCATGCCATCACTTATTACTAAGGATGTTTAACATCATTTGTAACTAATAATGCATGACATTACTTATCCTAATATATAAAAGCCCAATGTGCGCACATCTCTCTCTCTCTCTCTCTCTCTTTCTCTGTCCGCAAAAAATTTTCGCCGGACATCACGTCAGAATCGGCAGCGATATATGGAGAACTTTTTACGGACTTTTGTTGAAAATAATATGTTAGATGTTTTAAATGTATAACCACAATTTTACTTAAAGAAGAAAAATAAAAATTAAAGGCGTATTCGAATGTAGAGAAACAGTATTATTTATGCAACCGGAAAAGCATTAATACATGTGAAAAAGAACGCATAAAACTGTGACGTCGCTATTGCTTATACATTAACTAATGACGTCATCTGCTGTGTTTTGAATGAAAAGAAATGAACTATTTCATTCAAATTTGATTTAGATCTACGTACACTATGAAATGTATACAATACAATTTTTCCGGCCTAAACTCATACAATTTATTTTATTTATTTGGATTCTAGATCTAGAGATTCTAGATCTAGACTAAATCTAAATCTAAATCTACGCAATAACTAGATCTAGACGTAGACGCTAAGATCTAGATTTAGACTCTAACTTCTCTAAAATCAATTCCAAAAATAAATTTCTATATTAGGACTAAACTATTTCAAGACTTATTTATTTTATACAAAATCTTTGTTTGGAACTGGCTAATTTGGGATAAAAAATTAATTTGAAAGAATAGGCATATTCGCGTAAGTTAAGATTTTAAAATACGTGTTTCATTCTCCGTATTTTATAAGTTGCCTAAATAGCGGAGATGTTAGTGTACATTAAACCACGCAGGTGGTGCGGGTTCGAGACACAGCAAGTCAACTTGGTTAATGTATTCTTTTTTATTATGCTCGGGCTAAACTTAAAAAAAAATTCTTTTAGAAATCTAGATCTAGATCTAGATTGTCGGGTGTCCGATAGGGCACTTCCCGGCGCCGCAGGCGCTTCAAATTTGGCATGATCTTGCCTTGATGCGACAGAACACGGGGGCCGGTTGGCCGAAAAGTCTACGATGTGGGGGTCAAAACTGACCTCGACTGACCGGTACCTTATATGAGCTATAAATCGAAAAAAAATGTCCACGGAGGAACCTCTTCATAACTCTTGAGGTCGTAGACCGACCTTCGGGCGAATTAATTAAGCATTCAAATTCTAAATGTTTTCGAAAGCCTAAGCGAAGCTGGGCAGCATGCCTAGTAATTAATAATGGATGGCATTAGTTATAACTAATGACGTACATCATAACGTATGACTAGTGATGTATGGCAATGAAGTATGACATTCCTTATGACTAATGACGTATAACATCACCTAAAATGACTAATGACGTATGACATCCCCTATAACTAATGATGTATAATATAACTTATGACTAGTGATGTATGACATCACTTATGAGTAATGAAGTATGACATCCTTTATAACTAATGACGTATAACATCACCTAAAATGACAAATGATGTCCGACATCCAAAATGACTACTGACATATGACATCCCCTATGACTAGTGACGTATTACATCACCTAAAATGACAAATGATAAATGACATCCCCTTTGACTAATGACATATGACATCCCCTTTGACTAATGACATGTGACATCCCCTATGACAAATGGCATATGACATCCCCTATGACAATTGACGTATGACATCCGTATGACAAATGACATATGACATCCCCTATGACAAATGACATGACATCCGTATGACAAATGACATATGACATCCCCTATGACAAATGACATGACATCCGTATGACAAATGACATATGACATCCCCTATGACGTATGACATCCCCTATGACATATGACATCCCCTATGACAAATGACATATGAACTAAAACTAAAATGTGTGTCCCAAGTTCCAGAGTGTAACAAGACCAGTTACGGACGGGGATGTCAGCAGACGTGCAGGTGTGAGGAGAGCCACACGGACAGGTGTCACGTGCTGGACGGCTCATGCACGTGCATGTCAGGCTGGACGGGAGAGTTCTGTCAGACGGACGTCAATGAGTGCTCCAACACCAGCGTGTGCGTGGACGTACACGAGACGTGCGTCAACTACAACGGCTCGTTTGAGTGTAGATGTGGAGATGGGTACAGGAGAAGTAGCGGCCAGCGCTGTCTTAAAGGTTTTTCCCACGTTCTCTTTAACTTGCTTTCGCGTCTGATTGTTTGTTTGTTTGGTTCTCCAATCAAATCTTGCGATCGAAATTTCGGGCACTTCTCAGTTAGCTAGCGCACTGAAATTTTCAGGGAAGCTTTGTTTCCGATGACAATAGAATATTCAATTGTTATTATTTATTTTTTTTTAATTTAAGTAACTTGATCCTAAATAAACGGTAACATTCGTGGGTTGTTGCTTGATATTCGCTAGAATCCTCCAATTTTTTAAGTGTCCAATGGGATTATCCGTCTCAGCGAAATTCTGTTTTACTAGAATTTCTTTAGCAGTGTATTTACATCTGGTTGGTTGAAAACTATTATATCAACTCCCGCGGTCTTGTTACATGTCTCAAGTTCTCACGTTACTACGGCTTTTAAGATTAGGCCTCTATTTTAATTACTGTAATTAATCCAGGAGAGAATGCCTGTCTTACTGCTAATACATATCAGGGTAGCTTAGTCCGTACTTCACAGAAAAATGTTTCAAACAACATATTAATGTAAATAATAAATCAATAGTCTGCCCACATATACATACATACTCGTACGCATAAATAAACATATACGTGGTCGGGTAGTTAAGCGCATGTTTACTAATCCCATAAGTCCCAGGCTCGAATATCCTTGTCCTCTAGGTTGGGGGATGAACAGAGGATCAGAAAATATATCTCATTAAAACACGCAGCTGAATCAATCAGGATGTTCAATCATTTAAAAATGTCATAAAAAAACGTTTTCATAACAAACTTTTGTGTGATAATGCACTAAAAGGTAGAAAATAAATTATACACTACTATTTAAATAACTATAAAGAAAAGCGAGATTTTCGGTATAGCAACCATGAGCTTTACCGACTCGACCACGCCGACCCCCACACGACAAACAAAATAAGGTAGCTGGGACGATATATATCATGATTATTAGTTTATATATATATATATATATATATATATATATATATATATATATATATATATATATATATATATATATATATATATATATATATATATATATATATATATATAGTTAACCTTATCAGGTTTTAAGATTTAATCTTGACTATTGACAGAAACAGAACCTGATGTAGTGCTGATTATTGGCCTGTGTGTGGGACTCGGTCTACTGTCTCTAGTGTTGGTGGCTGGTGGGGCGCTAGTCTGGCACTGTAGGACATCCGGCAGGACACGTCGGTCCTTCCAACCGTCGCTTCCTCTGTAAGTGTGCACATACATCTTTCTATCAAAGATATTTTTTTTAAAATTTCACTTTGCTAATTTTTCCACCTAATCTTTCACAGGCAAACATCGGGCACCAGACCAACAAAAGTCATGCACGGCGGTGTAAATAACAACAGTAAACCTAACCATCATCAGAACACATATGTTAACGTTAGTGGCTGATGTGTAGACACAGTAACACAACTAAACCTAACCAGAACACATGTGTTAACGTTAATTGTTAACTTTTGATGTGTACATCTCGACAATGTGTACTAGGGATTTTGTCTATTGAAAGATTTATAAATGCTTCTTAAAACAATTTATCATCTATTAGTTTAAACAAGCTGATTAAATATGTAAGCAGATAAAGTACGTCAGCAGATAATATACGTATACCCATAGTAACCATTCACTTAAAAGACAAAATTGTACTTGTACAGTTAAACTGATATGTCATTTGGGTGTATATATAGAGGTGTGTGAATGTCATTTGAATGTTTTACAGGAAACAGACCTAAACACAATATTCTGTTTATGATGCAAACCAGCGAATGGTTAACACATTTTTAACAGTGTAAGGGGGACAATTATAACGACTATTGAAGGTTAAACATTATCTGAAATATTGATTGGAGGTTCTAGATTATCTGGAATATTGACTGGATGTTATAGATTATTTGAACTATTTACTTGAAGTTATAGATTATCTGGAATATCGATTGGGGGTTAAAGATTATCTGGAATACTGTGGCTGTCAATCGTTTTGACAGTTGTTGTCAGTTTCATAGTTTGGTAAGTTACCACAACTGAGTGGACTCAGGACTTCCTTCCCTGGAGTCTGTGACCGGAACTCAAGACATTTGGGTTAGCAGTCGTGCGAAATAAATGCTTCTCTCTATAGGCAACAAACATTTTTACTGGCTGTAAACTTGTGTCATTAGTTCTGTTATAGTTACAGCAGTACAGAATAAAACTATAAACATGTGTCATTAATTCTGTTATAGTTACAGCAGTACAGAATAATGCTATAAACTTGTGTCATTAGTTATGTTGTAGTTACAGCAGTACAAAATAAAGCTGTAAACTTGTGTCATTTGTTCTGTTGTAGTTACAGCAGTACAGAATAAAACTATAAACATGTGTCATTAATTCTGTTATAGTTACAGCAGTACAGAATAATGCTATAAACTTGTGTCATTAGTTATGTTGTAGTTACAGCAGTACAGAATAAATTGCAACATGTCTGGAACTGAGGCATGTTAAAATATCTCTTTATCTCAGCTACCAGCTTGTTAGTGGAAGTAAAGTAAACGTGTACGTCTCTAATTCAAACACCATTGAATTGATCAAGTTCTAAAGTCTCTAATTCAAACACCATTGAATTGATCAAGTTCTAAATTTACTAATTCAAACACCACTGAATTGATTCAGTTCTAAAGTCACTAATTCAAACACCATTGAATTGATCAAGTTCTAAATTTACTAATTCAAACACCACTGAATTGATTCAGTTCTAAAGTCACTAATTCAAACACCATTGAATTGATCAAGTTCTAAAGTCACTAATTCAAACACCATTGAATTGATCAAGTTCTAAAATCATTAATTCAAACACCATTGAATTGATCAAGTTCTAAAATCATTAATTCAAACGCCATTGAAGTGATCAAGTTCTAAAGTCACTAATTCAAACACCATTGAATTGATCAAGTTCTAAAGTCACTAATTCAAACACCATTGAATTGATCAAGTTCTAAAGTCACTAATTCAAACACCATTGAATTGATCAAGTTCTAAAGTCACTAATTCAAACACCACTGAATTGATCAAGTTCTAAAATCATTAATTCAAACACCATTGAATTGATCAAGTTCTAAAATCATTAATTCAAACGCCATTGAATTGATCAAGTTCTAAAGTCACTAATTCAAACACCATTGAATTGATCAAGTTCTAAAGTCACTAATTCAAACACCATTGAATTGATCAAGTTCTAAAGTCACTAATTCAAACACCATTGAATTGATCAAGTTCTAAAGTCACTAATTCAAACACCACTGAATTGATCAAGTTCTAAAATCATTAATTCAAACACCATTGAATTGATTCAGTTCTAAAGTCACTAATTCACCCTGACCTCCTGAAGTCGATAGGTCATCTTGACCTGTCTGTAATTATTGTGTGGGGATGGAGCAGGTGCAAGCTTGTCCCACCTTTATCAGTGAAATATGCCCGCACCTCATCAAGGCATTATGCACGCCTTTCATGTTTAGATGGGCATGTTTTAAAGCCATTTGAATCTCTTGATTCCTGCGTTGATAACCTGAGACTTCAGTAGAGACGGTAACTCGAGATCTCAATTGTGTTTGAAGCACGAGAATTAGGCATGTAGTTTAAAATATATCAACTATAGAAAGTAGAACCACACAACCCGTATATAATGGCTGCTGTAAAAGCTTAGTCGATGACGTATACCGATTTATTCAATTGCAACACTCAACTAGTTAAGGGTGAGTATAGCACGACCTCTAGTCAGTGTTTCGAGTGAGTATAGAATTCTTTACATCAGCAACATCCTACACCCAGACAGCAACATCACACATCCAGACAGCAACATCCTACATCCAGACAGCAACATCCTACACCTAAACAGCAACATCCTACATGCAGATAGTACGAAGCAAACACTCAAAAAAAAAAAATTTCAGAAACTAACTTCAGTTTGCACCAAACAAATTTGCGTAAGTAGCTACGAAACAAAAGCGTGCCTCGCTTTAGATCGATCATGTATCACACTTGTACACATTTCAATTGGAATTATCTTTAACATTTTACATTGTATTTATTTAAATGACAGCTTTAACAAAACGAATGATGAATATGAAGATTTATCGCAAGAAGCTCGTCGTCCACTTCATGTTGTCGGTGACCTCCTTGACCTTGGTCCAGTTACCGGCGTCAGATGGCACTCTCTACTGGTCACGTGACGATTTATTTACACTGAGGGGCAACTACACCTGGGGCTCCAGCATCAACAAGACACGCTTCACTGAGCAGGAGAAGAATTTGATCCTACAGATCAGTAACGCCTACAGGAGTATGGTGTTTCCTAGAGCTGTTGGGATGAGGGAGTTGGTGAGTGGGGGTCTTTGTGTGGGGGTCTTTGTGTGGGGGTCTTTCTGTGTGGGGGATTGTGTGGGGTCTTTGTTTGTGGGTTTTTGTGTGGGGGTCTTTGTGCGTGGGGGTTGTGTGGGGTCTTTGTTTGTGGGTTTTTGTGTGGGGGTCTATGTGTGGGGTTCTTTGTGTTGGGGTCTGTGTGGGGGTTGTGGGGGTCTTTCTAGAGCTGTTGGCATGGGGGAGCTGTTCATTGGGGGTCTTTGTGGATGTTGTGGATTTTGTATGTAGGTTGCGTTGGTCTATGTGTAGGAGCGGTGTGGGTTTTTGTGTTGTCGTTACGGGTGTCGCTTGGGACTTTGAGTGAAATCTGTGATAAACAGAAATGAAAGGTTCCCATAATTCAGTAAGAAAATACTACAGCATAAAAATCAATGTAGTTTTCCCTATATGAATAGAGTGAACTAAATAAATTCGTGAGTTCAGTTAAAAGAAAGGAAGCTTTACATTAGCAGTGCGAGTGTAGACAAAGAGGTATGTATACATATATAGTGAATGGACTAGCTGTCTGACAGCGTGTAGGAATGTTATCAAACTTGCAGTTTTTGGGACAGCCAGCTCGAGGACTACGCCTACAACCACACCCAGAAATGTACCGGCGCCCACAGTGGTGGAACCATCATTTTTAAAAGATACTGGCCCAGCAAAGACACAGTAATTTGAGAGCAGAGAGGTGAAGTTCTCTACTATAGTCACGGTAGGTGCCCGACTGTAGTGGGAACAGAGGGGTGAAGTTCTCTACTATAGTCACGGTAGGTGCCCGACTGTAGTACAGCAGCATTTATAAATCTTCTTGTATTTTTAATAATGGCTAATGGTGTCTGTCCTCTATCTACGCCGTTAAAATTAAATGATGTCTTTTATTACCAACTAGACTACCCGTTATCTAGTTACTGTGGGTTTCGGGGGTCACCCATATATGACATCACGTCTGTCACTTATCATCACAAAATTACCAGACCCCAGATTAAAAAACACGTAAATTGAAAAAAAAATAACATTGACATAATGTGTCTAGAAATGACTCAAAATTTAACAGAAGGTAGAGAATTAGATCTTTTACTTACATGTGAAATTTCTTTTATCTATCTGAAATAGTACTCAAGTTATAGGCTTTTGAAAATTTCAAAGTAGGAAAAGTACCACTTCCGGTTATCGGAAATCGCTCAAAAGTTGATATGGATCTACAATTTTGATAAAATACTTATATATGAAATTTCATCAACCTAGCTGTAACGGTACTCAAGTTATCGTGTTTACACACATACACACACAGACAGACAGACACACAGACACACAGACATACGGACAAGATTGCAAATTCACGTTTTTCCGTATCAGTTAGATGTAAAACGTCGAGATTTGTAAAAATCTCGATTTTTTTTTTTGCACGATTACAATACTTTCTCTATACTCCGTAATTACGAGAAAGTAAAAAGTACTAATAATATTGTTCACTATTATGCACATTTTGTTTTGGCGTTCGCTTGGTGCGCAATTCTTTTTTCTACGAGATTCTATTCTATTTTCAAAAGTTTAAGTCATTTAAAATCAAGTCTATATTCCGAGTTATATAAGAATATTCGAGAAAGTTTAGGGGAGATTACTCCCGGTTTATTTACTTTCTTGTATACGAAGTATAGAGGAAGTATTATATCGTGCAAAAATCGAAATCGAGATTTTCACAAATCTCGACATTTTACACCTGTCTCAGTCGGAAAAAAAGATAGTTTTGCAATTTTGTCCGTATTTCAATTAATCGGAAGTGGAACTTATTCTACTTTTGGTTTTTCAAACGCATATATTGTGTGTAGCCTACTGTTTCAGATATTTAAATGAAATTTCACGTGTAAGTAAAATACCTAATTATCTACCTCCAAACGAATTCGGGATAATTTCCGTTGTCCGGAAGTAATAATTTACGCAATTTCCGATTTCTCAAAGAAAAAAACGCATATGAATTTATAAAGTACTAATATTATTCCGCACTATTATACAAATATTGTTTGTCGTTGGCTTGGTACGCAATTCTTTTTTCCACAAGATTCCATTCTATTTTAAAAAGTTTAAGTATGTAAAAACTTATTAAAAATCGTGTCTATATCTCGAGTTGCCATCCCGTAATGTTATATTAGAATATTCGAGAAATATTAGTGGACGATCACTCCCTGTTTATTTTTAAATAAACTTTGCAGCTCATAAATTTATTAAATTGTTTACAAAAGGTTCCAGTCGTTGCATCAGTAGCTGCACAATAAGTTACTGCCTTAGCATGGTGACATGAAAGATGCGCAATGGAAAGCTGCGCACAAAAAAAGCATTTTTATTTTCTTTAATAGAGCATTTAAAGACGTGATGATTTTAATAACAAATAATGAGCTCATGCACCTTGAAACACACAATTAAACATATTTCATGAAATTTGACAAAATTAAATTGTATTAGTATAATTAGTTTGTTTTTGCGCATTTTTCTGTTTGCACAGTTTTCCTTTGCGCAGTTTTCCGCTAACGCATTTTTCTGGGAACCCCAAAGCATGCATCAAAGGCCTAGAGCAGATATTTACCTTCTATCGTTTTGTGATTAAGTTTTTCTCCCGGGCCTGGCTACAGCATTGAGCAAGCGTTTTACATGTTCCATGAGGAGGGATCTAAGTACGACATCTATACAGACAAGTGTACTCACTGGAATACATGTGGACACTATCGTGTGGTGAGAACACACACTCACATGTGCATATATATATATATATATATATATATATATATATATATATATATATATATATATATATATATATATATATATATATATATATATATATATATATATATATACACACATCATGGAAATGAGTCGATTTCCTCATTATTCACTTATCAATAAAGAATATAGCTTCTCTATTATTTCTCTGTTGAAACTGTTCAGCTGATGAATGAAAAGTCTTGTAGAATGGGCTGTGCACTGAACTTTTGTAAGAGCTACTCACATAGTGAATACCCCACACCATCCACTTTGTTGATGTGTAGCTATGATGGACAGTAAGTTGATGTGTAGTTAGTTGATGTGTAGGTAGTTGATGTGTAGGTATTTGAAGTGTTGCTATGATGGAAAGTAAGTTGATGTCTAGCTAGTTGATGTGTAGTTAGTTGATGTGTATCTATGATGGACAGTAAGTTGATGTTTAGTTAGTAGATGTGTAGCTATCATGAACAGTATACAAAAATTAGCTAACCTTTACCAAGTTGTATTTAATATGGCCTATAAAATGAGTTCATAAATATGTTTCAACTTCAAACTGTTTAAGACGTAATGATTACAACGGCGTTTAATGAAAGAAAACCCAACTTAAATCTACTGAGCTAATCCCACACCCCACACACACCCACCTTAATCTCCTCTCACCACCAGTTACACAACTAATCTCACCCCCACCTTAATCTCCCCACCAGGTACACCACTAATCTCACCCCCACCTTAATCTCCCCACCAGGTACACCACTAATCTCACCCCCACCTTAATCTCCCCACCAGGTACACCACTAATCTCACCCCCACCTTAATCTCTCACCAGGTACACCACTAATCTCACCCCCACCTTAATCTCCCCACCAGGTACACCACTAATCTCCCCACCAGGTACACCACTAATCTCACCCCCACCCCACAGTAATCTCCCAACCAGGTACACCACTAATCTCACCCCCACCCCACCTTAATCTCCCCACCAGGTACACCACTAATCCCATCCCCACCTTAATCTCCCCACCAGGTACACCACTAATCCCACCCCCACCTTAATCTCCCCACCAGGTACACCACTAATCTCACCCCCACCCCACCTTAATCTCCCCACCAGGTACACCACTAATCTCATCCCCATCTTAATCTCCCCACCAGGTACACCACTAATCTTACCCCCACCTTACTCTCCCCACCAGGTACACCACTAATCTCACCCCCCACCTTAATCTCCCCACCAGGTACACTACTAATCTCACCCCCCACCTTACTCTCCCCACCAGGTACACCACTAATCTCACCCCCACCTTAATCTCCCCACCAGGTACACCACTAATCTCACCCCTCACCTTACTCTCCCCACCAGGTACACCACTAATCTCACCCCCCACCTTACTCTCCCCACCAGGTACACCACTAATCTCCCCACCAGGTACACCACTAATCTCACCCCCACCCCACCTTAATCTCCCCACCAGGTACACCACTAATCTCATCCCCACCTTAATCTCCCCACCAGGTACACCACTAATCTCACCCCCACCCCACCTTAATCTCCCCACCAGGTACACCACTAATCTCACCCCCCACCTTACTCTCCCCACCAGGTACACCACTAATCTCACCCCCCACCTTACTCTCCCCACCAGGTACACCACTAATCTCACCCCCACCTTAATCTCCCCACCAGGTACACCACTAATCTCACCCCCACCTTAATCTCCCCACCAGGTACACCACTAATCTCACCCCCCACCTTAATCTCCCCACCAGGTACACCACTGATCTCACCCCCACCTTAATCTCCCCACCAGGTACACCACTAATCTCACCCCACCTTAATCTCCCCACCAGGTACACCAGTAATCTCACCCCACCTTAATCTCACCATCAGGTACACCGCTAATTTCACCCCCACCTTAATCTCCCCACCAGGTACACCACTAATCTCACCCCCACCTTAATCTCCCTACCAGGTACACAACTAATCTCACCCCCACCTTAATCTCCCCACCAGGTACACCACTAATCTCACCCCCACCTTAATCTCCCCACCAGGTATACCACTAATCTCACCCCCACCTTAATCTCCCCACCAGGTACACCACTAATCTCACCCCCACCTTAATCTCCCCACCAGGTACACCACTAATCTCACCCCCACCTTAATCTCCCCACCAGGTACACCACTAATCTCACCCCCACCTTAATCTCACCACTAGGTACACCACTAATCTCACCCCCACCTTTATCTCCCCACTAGGTACACCACTAATCTCACCCCCACCTTAATCTCCCCAACCAGGCACACCACTAATCTCACCCCCACCTTAATCTCACCACCAGGTACACCACTAATCTCACCCCCACCGTAATATCCCCACCAGGTACACCACTAATCTCTCCCCCACCTTAATCTCCCCACCAGGTACACCACTAATCTCACCCCCACCTTAATCTCCCCACCAGGTACACCACTAATCTCACCCCCACCTTAATCTCCCCACCAGGTACACCACTAATCTCACCCCCACCTTAATCTCCCCACCAGGTACACCACTGACGTTAAACCCTACACTGTCGGACCTGCCGGCTCCAACTGTGAAAACATGGGCTACAACTGGTCAATCAAAAGGAACAACCTGTGTAGTAAGTGGTTGGGTGGCGGCAGAGGCGAAGCGAGGGGGAGGGGCGGGGGTGCGGACCGCACCGGGTGATACCATTTAGGGTGGTGACGCCAAGGCAAAAAATAGCAAAATATTTAGAGAAAAATGATAATTCCACTTAACTAAGTGATTAATTCAAGTGTTACATAGTGTTTTAAGGGGTGCAAATCGAAAGTTTGAGGGGGGGGGGGTTAAAAACGAAAGTTTGAGGGGGTGCAAATCGAAATTTTGAGGGGGGGTGCAAATCGAAAATTGAAAGTTTGTCCCCGGGAAGGGTCGCTGCGCCTCTGGGGGTGGGGGGGGGTGACACCATTGAGTGCCACACCGGGTGACACCCGACCTCGCTACGTCACTGGGTGGTGGTTGGTAGAAATCCTTCAGTCTGAGAACTCTCCACTTCGGTGAAATAATTTGTACGTAGCGTACATGGGTTAAGGCGAATTAAATAGAACTTTTTTTTGTACAATTAAATGCTAAGACTGTTTTTTTTTGCATTCGACCTGTCTTGATGAGAATTATTTGATTCACCTACTACGTTTTGTTTTCTAGTTAGCGCAACTGAACGAAAGTTTAATTTAGGCTACGACGGCAACACTACTGTGCTAGGATTTGATTACAACGACGTCGTTATGGTGGAGGAGATGAACCTCGCCACACCAGCCTAGGCTACACCACCTGCTACAGCAACACCAGCAGGTAGCAATGTATCTGAGGCTACATCATATTTAACCACGCCTACGTCAACCGCATCACAATCAACTACAACAACCTCACAGCAACAACTATACCACCAAACTTGAACAACCACGAGCACGCATCCAACTTCAATGGCTACCCCGCCCACTAGCATCTACATCAACAACTTCCACTTTAATAAAAAAAAACATCAACCAAATCACAATCGACTACGCCAACAGCAACCACAAATGCAACAACAGCAACAACAGCATATGTGCTTGACTTCATATAAGAAGCACATCAACCTATCAAAGGCTACCTCACCTACCTCAGCACTAACCTCACCTACCTCAGCACTAACCTCACCTACCTCAGCACTAACCTCACCTACCTCAGCACTAATCTCACCTACCTCAGCACTAACCTCACCTACCTCAGCAATAACCTCGCCTACCTCAGCAATAACTCTCCTACCTCAGCACTAACCTCACCTACCTCAGCACTAACCTCACCTACCTCAGCACTAACCTCAACTACCTCAGCACTAACCTCACCTACCTCAGCACTAACCTCAACTACCTCAGCACTAACCTCACCTACATCACAACTACCTCACCTACCTCAGCACTAACCTCACCTACCTCAGCACTAACCTCACCTACCTCAGCACTAACCTCACCTACCTCAGCACTAACCTCACCTACCTCAGCACTAACCTCACCTACCTCTGCACTAACCTCACCTACCTCAGCACTAACCTCACCTACCTCAGCACTAACCTCAGCTATCTCACGACTAACAGCACTATTGTTTATATCATGTATTCATCAAAATTAATCAAATCCCCATTTAGGGTCATCTATATTTTGTGGTTTTCTTAAAACATCGATATTTTTCCAAAATTTTGTATAAACTCTGTCATCATAGAGTATTTTAATCAATTTCCATTACAATTTATTAAAACACGTTTCTAAAACGCGAAATAACGGCTAAAATTCGTTTTTTAACATAGATTTCTAATAATGCAAAAGTGTAACGTCACACAATCTGAACCCCCTTCCCCTCATCACACACCGGCACAAAATTACGGAACCCCCCCCCCCCCCTCTCCCCTACGAGTGTGACATCATTTACTAATAAACTGTTTTCTCGAATCGAGGTAGGAAAACAGGCCATGTCAAAAGCCCCACCACAATCCATACACCCACACTTACCGCACACACACACATACACACAGTCGCAATAATCATCAAACCGTTTATCACGTGAATTATCCTATTCGTTAAATTGTCATTCGTCACATTCTAAAACTGACCAATCAAATTTCCTTTTCCAGTTTGACATCTATGAAGCGTCAGTGCGCATGTCTGTCAGAGCAACAAAACCATCTAATCACTTGCACAAATATTAAAAGCAATTCGCAGAAATTTTAAGTTTTAGATTTTGATTTCTTTGTTATATTGTGTTTCCATTGGGACCACTGAATGTGTTTTTATCAAGCTTCTCGTTAGTTACCAGTTTAAAAAAAATCCAGTAGCCTATCTAGGGAGGTGTCTGATGAATGATTAAGGCAAAAAATAGCGCGGAATGACAGTGGCGCCTATCTTGGTGTATGTTATGTATATATATATATATATATATATATATATTATATATATGTGTGGGAATATATATATATATATATATATATATATATATATATATATATATATATATATATATATAGATATATATATATATATATACAGGCCTATATATATATATATATATATATATATATATATATATATATTATATATATATATATATATATATATTATATAGATATCTATATATATATATATACAGGCCTATATATATATATATATATAATATATATATATATATATATATATATATATATATATATATAGGCCTATATATATATATATTATATATATATATATATATATATATATATATATATATATATATATATATATATATATATATATATATATAGGCCTATATATATATATATATATAGGCCATATATATATATATATATATATATATATATATATATATATATATATAGGCCTATATATATAATATATATATATATATAAATATATATATATATATATATACATACATATATATATATATATATATATATATATATATATATATATATATATATATATATAATATATATATAGGCCTATATATATATATATATATATATATATAACTATATACATATATATATATATATATATAACATTATATATATATATATATATATATATATAGGCCTATATATATATATAATATATATATATATATATATATATATATATAATATATATATATATATATATTATATATATATATTATATATATGTATATATATATATATATATATATATAGATATATATATCTATATATATATATCTATATATATATAGGCCTATATATATATATATATATATATATATATATATATATATATATATATATATAATATATATATATATATATATATATATATATATATATATATATATATAGGCCTATATATATATATATATATATATATATATATATATATATATATATATATATATACACATATATATATATGTGTGTGTGTATATATATATATATATATATATATATATATATGTACTGTTGAATGTGTAAATGTTGTTTGGTTGTTTTGTCATTATTTTATTCTCCAGAAGATAATTTAAAACTAACAACTTAATAGCATAAACCAATGGATAAATTTTAATCACAAATTGTTTCACACATGAATCAGTGAAGAAAAAAAAAGCTTTTGATATATTTTATTTCAGTATCACAAATATACTTTGGTTTGTCTCTCACAGTTCATCTACTGCAATAATTTATCCATCACACCAGCATGTCAAGTGTAGGCAAACACAAATATACTTTTTGTTGTTGCATTTTTACAAACATTTATACAAACATTTACACAAACATTTTTACAAACATTTTTACAAACATTTATATAAACAATTTTACAAACATTTACACAAACATTTTTACATTTATATTTCCATCTGATCCCATTTCTCACAAGTTTAAAATAATTTAAATATTCATCATTCCAATTTTACTTTCTATTTTTAAAGCAATTGATTTGGAACAGAACACAATGTGAAATAGTAGGCCAATATTTTCCCTTGTATCATGTTTTACAGCCCTTGTCTACTAGAAACAAAAGAAATTTTTGAGTAATCTCCCCTTATATTTTTACAATGAGATAAACTATGCCAACAGCTGATACCCACTACAATCTAACCACATAGAAATTGTGCTTTACAGTCCAAATGATATGTGTTCAGATGTCACCCAAAAGTTGGTATGGCACACAACAGTCCTAATATATGTGTGTATGTATGTTGTTTGTATGTATGTATATATGTAACAGTAAGCTGGATCAAATTGTGATAAGATTCTAAACACAGGAAAAAAACAGTTGTAACATGAAGGTATAATGTGAAGATTAACATGAAGTTGTAGCATAAATCTGTAACATGAAGTTGAAACAAAGTTGATACATTAGACTTTAATTGTCGAATTAATGTTTTTAAATTAAAAGAAAATAACGGTCATTTTATAAATCCATCATTATAAAATTGGCAATCACAGGTTGTTTGCTTTAGACATTGAGTTGTGTTTTTAAAACCGTAACCAGATTAAAATAAATTTTTTAAAAAGAATTGGACTTTTAGCACTAAAGTACATTTTCTGTTTTATTTTTCAATTCCTTGGGTGATAAATTATTATTTTATGAAGTGCATTTATTATTATGATGGAAACATTTTATTTGTGAATTAAATTTATTGCAAGTGAAAGTATGAGAAGATGATGGCGAAAAGTTTTTTTCCAAATATTTAAGGCACAAAATGCATTAGAACAGTGGGGTACCTCCACGGTGATCTCACATCACAAGTAGTTTTAGCTGCTCATACAGGTGGTAGCCACTGGGGGGGTTATCAAATCCTTTTTATGGATTGTAATTTATTGATTTAAATTGTACTATTTACTTAATACATAGAGTGTAACAGTTATAAATTTAAATTTAGACAGTATCAGTACTCATTAAATGAATTCATTCCTTTATTGAAAAGAGGTTTGCAGTTGTTTATTAAATCAGAGTAGGTTGCTGAGTCAAATTTTGTCAGTCAAAAGCAAGGGCAGATAAGCCCAACAGGAAACTTATTTTTCTTGAATTATCTCCCCTGTCACAGCTTTATGTTTTGGGGTGAGATTTTAAAGATTCAAAAATATGTTTTCCAAATACAATCAACTCTTTATAAAGTTGAAATGCTTGATCAAAAAACTGCGAGATATAAAATGTTTTATATAACATTTATAAGAATTTTATGTCTTCTTGTTTTTCTAGCTAAAAGTGTCAATGTTTCTACACTGCAGCTATTCCTTTAGCTCTTTACATAATTTCAAAATGAAAAGTTGAAACAAATAATGCATTAATGGCTAGTCAAGTCATTGGTTGTAATTTATAAACGTAACATGGTACAAGAAAAATAAAAGATTTTCTTGTAAAAGACAAACAACATTTAATATTGCTTGTACTAGTTCTACTGGTGCCTGATATTACATTCAAATATTTACCGTCAACATGCATTCTAATGTTCATTAAACTAAATATATATATATATATACTTTAAATTTATACATATGGTAAATTAACTCTCACACACACATTTTAAAAAATTACTTAAAAAGTGAAGTAATTTTTTTCAAGCAAGTCAGGCAACTCTAAATTCATACCCAACACAGACACAACTTATTATTCACCCCTCACCCATTATGCTTTTTAATTGCAGTGTGGTTTATTAAAAACAATGTATCAAACAGTATCAGCAGTTTAAAAATGTCTATATTTAGCATCAGGTCAAAAGTCCTTGTCCCAACCGGTGAGATCATCTGGAGGGGGGTGCTCCTCGTCCTCTGGGTAGTCGTCAAAGTTGGATGTGTCTATGGCAGATTTGACCTGCAAGTTTTGCAAAGTGTTTTACTAAGTCTTGTGATGGAAAGTTTTTGTTTAAATGTTTTAAACTTGGTATATGCTATTGTAAAACACTGAGTCTACTACAATGTGAAACTGCAGAAATTAATATTGAGGGGTAAACAACAAGCCAGGAAAACACAATATCATGGGAGGTAACCGGGTTCAGTTGCCAGATGGGAGATAACCCAGTTCTTGTTATGTAGCTTTATTTTTCAGAGTAACTCATCAACTAAACCAGGGAAGCTATTCTGGGGTTGAATATTGAAGTAAATATTTATTTTGCTTCAATTGCTTGTAATAGAAATTGAAATAGACTGGGGTTTTTTTAATGTGATTCTAAAAAATTAGTTTTAGAGACCAACAATTTATCTACAGGAGACAGCAGGAGGAAACAACCCAAACTTACTGAAGGTACTATTGGAGCTTTCAGAGTTCTGTTCCTTAGTCCATCCCAGTTAAAGCTATCAAACCACAGGTGTTTCTGTATCTCTCTGATCCCACCTTTTCCATAGCCCAGTCGTTCCATTGGATTATCTCTAGAGATTAGATAGGAGGAGAATATGAGATTATCTCTAAAGAACATATAGAAGGAATACATGAGATTATATCTAGAGATCAAATAGAAGAAAAATATAAGATTATCTCTATAGATCAAATGAAAGGAAAAAATGATATTATCTCTAGAGAACAAATAGAAGGGAAACATGAGATCAAATGGAAGAAAAATATGTTCAACTTTAATCGTTCATTTATTATTTTATATATTTAAAAATTTCAACACAAAATAATTTTTAATTATAGCCCTATTTACAACTGCTTTTATTTCAACAACTACACATTAAAATTTAACAACCAACATTTTTTTGTTTGCAGTATAAAGTGTACATGTTCTGTTAAAATACAATTCCAGAGAACTGACCGACAAAGTTTTTTGATAAGACTGGCAGCATTCTTGTTCACTTTTCTCGGAATGTCCACAGCGTCGATGCCTTTAAGAATTAAATTGTACGTTTTCATTGGATCAGGACCAGCAAATGGTGGGCTGTAGAGGAAATCAATACAACTCATTAAGCACAGTTTAGACGCAGACATTTTTGCAGATTATTCCATGTCTGTTGATTTTTTCTCACTAATTAGTTGATGCAGTAAAACATGTCATTATGTCTGCAGCTTTGTTTTTAAAATTCTAGAATTGGATTTTTTCTTGACCTCTGGGAATAGCTGACTCTGATTTATTTTGTTATCACTGTTGTCATTGCCAGAGCTGATGTAAATTGGACAAAAATAAATTCACAGAAAAATAAATTTACAGAAAAATAAATTCACAGAGAAATTAGTTCACAGAAAAATAAATTCACAGAAAAATAAATTCACAGAGAAATTAGTTCACAGAAAAATAAATTCACACAAAAATAAATTCACACAAAAATAAATTCACAAAACAAAAAACAAGTTAATTAAAAAGTCTAGTGACAATTTTAGCGCAATTTCCTTATGTTATCTAAAAATAGCTCTGACGTATAATGCTGGGGTGCGTTCAAGCTAGGAGAACGATCGGTTTGTAGGTGTTTATGTAATTTTAAAATTTGTGACCGAACGAAAGGATATTTTTGAAAACTTTCTTCGGCAATATTGTTCTAAATTATGGCAGGAATCGATTGGTAAATGTTTCAAGTCGCTAAGTGGTCTGGTTGCCGAGATATGGGCCAAAAACTGCATTTTTTTCGAGTTTTTTTTTGCTTTTCCGTGAAATCCAGGAAGGAATTCCGGGAATTTTTTTGGCCCACTATCATCCTCGGAACTTGCTTAACAAATTTGCTTTTGGAACTAGTCCTCGATATTGCTTCGTTGAGGAGGAGATACGACTTAAGGGGATAGGCTCCCGAAAAAAACAGGGAAAAAAACTTTTTAGTTAAAAAGCCTTTTTCATTTATTTGTGTATGTATAAGTTAGGGTACTTAAGGAAAAATATTTGGATGTACCAGGAACTCTTCTGAAAATATGGTTGCCATGGAAACGGCGGCCATCTTGGAAAAAACTACCTTTTGTGGAGTTCTAAAATTTCCTAAAGTAACATATAAACCGCCCATATAATCATTGATCTTTATTGTACTAACATCAATAGAGTGAGCTGGCTAATTTTTGTAACCGAAACACAGCTAGACATATTTTTTTTCAAATTTTCAAAAAAATATGTGGTGAAATTCCATTGAATTTAGCATTATTTTCATTGGAATTTCGTCACACCAAATTTTGAAAATTAAAAAAAAATATTTCTAGAGTGATTTCTGTTACAAAAACTAGCCAGCTGACTCTATTAGCGTTAGTACAAGAAGGATCAATGATTATATAGCCGATATTTATGTTAGTTTATGAAATTTTAGAACTCCAGAAAAGGATGTTTTTTCAAGATGGCCGCCGTTGCCATGGCAACCATTTTTTCAAAATATTCCCTGATGCATGGAAATATTTTCTTTCAAGTACCCTAACTTAGATATACACAAATGAATCAATAAAAGGTTTTAATTAAGAAGTTGGTTTTTTCTGGAGCCTACCCCCTTAAAGCTGCGAACACACATCCATCCATTCCCAGAAAAGACGAGTTAATAAACGCAATTCTCCAGAATGGAAATTGCGCTAAAAATATATGGATTTAGATTTTAAGGAAGAAATACTGATGTATACAGAAGTTAAAAGTAACTTTTGACATTAAAGTAAAGTATTTAAAACACAAGGCACTGTTAAATTTATTTACAACCAATCACGTTGCTCACCTTCCTGTCAGAAGCTCAAACATTAAGATACCCAGAGACCAATAGTCCGCAGAGATATCATGACCTTTATTCAGAATTATTTCTGGGGCCACGTATTCCGGAGTTCCACAGAACGTCCATGTCTTTCTGCCGTGTCCAACTCTTTTGGCGAACCCAAAATCTACCTGAGAGTTCAAACAGAGAAGGTCAGAGCAAGGTCAAATAATAAAGGTCAGATCAAGGTCGAATAATAAATTTCAGAGCAAGGTCAAATAATAAAGCTCAGATCAAGGTCGAATAATAACGTTCAGAGCAAGGTCAAATAATAAAGCTCAGATCAAGGTCGAATAATAAAGTTCAGAGCAAGGTCAAATAATAAAGCTGAGATCAAGGTCGAATAAAAAAGGGTAGAACAGGGCAGATAATTAAAAGCAGAAAAACACAAAACTGAAAAAAATCACTGCATAAATGATTCAAGTAATTATATTTTTGTCAGTAACTTCGTTTATGGATTATTGTGTTTGATGGAAAAATAAGCTAAAAGCAAATCCACAGTGGCCGGTTTTTAGACAAACGCTACATTAAACAGTTCAATGAAAATAAATTTTTAAAATGTATAGCTATTTAAAAATCTTCTTCTGCTTAAATAATTAATGCACGACTGTTCACACTCTGTACTATAATATTCACACAAGGACAAAGCTTGGAATATATAAGTTTAATCAAGCTTAAAATAGAAAAACTTGTTGTGCAATATAAGGATTAATTTTTTTTTAAGTTGTATATATTATGTTTATATGTTTAAAAGTTTTGTTTACATGGATTGTAGGTTAGTATTAGAGTTCAGTTAATGTTAATCACATAATAAGTTTTGTCTTCAGAGAGACAAGACAGAGACCTTTGCAATGTATAAATGAAGGGAGGGGGCTTGGGTCTTGTATCAATGGTGTGAGGGGGGGAGTGGGTGTTGTATCAATGGTGTGAGGGGGGGAGTGGGTGTTGTATCAATGGTGTGAGGGGGGTGGGTCTTGTATCAATGGTGTGAGTGGGGTGGGTCTTGTATCAATGGTGTGGGGGGATCTTGTATCAATGGTGTGAGGGGGGAGGGGGTGTTGTATCAATGGTGTGAGGGGGGGAGGGGTGTTGTATCAATGGTGTGAGGGGCAGTGGTTCTTAAACTCCCAGAATTGTGAATGAAACTGAAACCTATTTCAGTATGAGAATAAGTTAAAACCTTGGCTCAGGGCTGTAAGCTAAAGCGTGTGTGTGTGGTAGCCCCACCAGTTTGATGTAGCATTTGTGTGTGTGTGTGTGTGGTAGCCTCACCAGTTTGATGTAGTATGTGTGTGGTAGCCTCACCAGTTTGATGTAGTGTTTGTATGTGTGTGTGTGGTAGCCTCACCAGTTTGATGTAGCGTGTGTGTGTGGTAGCCTCACCAGTTTGATGTAGCATTTGTGTGTGTGTGTGGTAGCCTCACCAGTTTGATGTAGCATTTGTGTGTGTGTGGTAGCCTCACCAGTTTGATGTAGCGTGTGTGTGTGGTAGCCTCACCAGTTTGATGTAGTGTTTGTATGTGTGTGTGTGGTAGCCTCACCAGTTTGATGTAGCGTATGTGTGTGTGGTAGCCTCACCAGTTTGATGTAGTGTTTGTATGTGTGTGTGTGGTAGCCTCACCAGTTTGATGTAGCGTGTGTGTGTGTGTGGTAGCTTTAGCCTCACCAGTTTGATGTAGTGTTTGTATGTGTGTGTGTGGTAGGCTCACCAGTTTGGTGTAGTGTGTGTGTGTGTGTGTGGTAGCCTCACCAGTTTGGTGTAATGTGTGTGTGTGTGGTAGCCTCACCAGTTTGGTGTAGTGTGTGTGTGTGTGGTAGCCTCACCAGTTTGATGTAGCGTGTGTGTGTGGTAGCCTCACCAGTTTGATGTAGCGTGTGTGTGTGTGTGGTAGCCTCACCAGTTTGATGTAGCGTATGTGTGCGTGGTAGCCTCACCAGTTTGATGTAGCATGTGTGTGTGTGTGTGGTAGCCTCACCAGTTTGATGTAGCGTATGTGTGCGTGGTAGCCTCACCAGTTTGATGTAGCGTGTGTGTGTGGTAGCCTCACCAGTTTGATGTAGTGTTTGTATGTGTGTGTGTGGTAGCCTCACCAGTTTGATGTAGCGTATGTGTGCGTGGTAGCCTCACCAGTTTGATGTAGCGTGTGTGTGTGGTAGCCTCACCAGTTTGATGTAGCGTGTGTGTGTGTGTGGTAGCCTCACCAGTTTGATGTAGCGTATGTGTGCGTGGTAGCCTCACCAGTTTGATGTAGTGTGTGTATGTGTGTGTGTGGTAGCCTCACCAGTTTGATGTAGCGTGTGTGTGTGTGTGGTAGCCTCACCAGTTTGATGTAGCGTATGTGTGCGTGGTAGCCTCACCAGTTTGATGTAGTGTGTGTGTGGTAGCCGGTAGCCTCACCAGTTTGATGTAGCGTGTGTGTGGTAGCCTCACCAGTTTGATGTAGTGTGTGTGTATGTGTGTGTGTGTGTGGTAGCTTTAGCCTCACCAGTTTGATGTAGCATGTGTGTGTGTGTGTGAGGTAGCCTCACCAGTTTGATGTAGCGTGTGTGTGGTAGCCTCACCAGTTTGATGTAGTGTGTGTGTATGTGTGTGTGTGTGTGGTAGCTTTAGCCTCACCAGTTTGATGTAGCATGTGTGTGTGTATGTGTGTGGTAGCCTCACCAGTTTGATGTAGCCGTGAGAATCTAGCAGTAAGTTCTCCGGCTTCAGGTCCCTGTATACGATGCCCCGACTGTGTAGGTAAACAAACGCCTCGACTACACACGCTGTGTAGAAGCGTGTCGTGTTGTCGTCAAATGAACCCCTGGAGATTAGATGGGAAATTATGGGATATGGGACCTTTAAAGATTAGAATTAGATGGGATATTATGGGATATGGGACCTCTTAAGATGGGATGGGAATATTTGAAAAGTAGAACCCTTTAAGAGTAGACGTGACAATTATCTGCTGTTCACAAATCTGAACCTTCATGATGCAGATGGTCAAATTATTGGATGTCAATTGTGCTAATTAATTGTTTAATGTTAGTCAAGGATTTAATTATTTTAGGGCTAGGACGATGTCTTGAGCAGTGTTTCTTCCAGACTTTTTTCTCCGGGGGGGGGGGGGGGGGCACTTGAAATTTTCGGGGGGGGGTAGACTTTTTTCAGAGGGGGGGGGGAGGCACACTGTAAAAAGTATATATTTTCTATATAAATTATATAAATTTCTTTTCGTTCGGGGGGGGGGGGGGGGCGGTAGAATTTTTTCGAGGGGCGGGGGGGGGGGGGCAAGAGATGACTGGAAGAAACTCTGGTCTTGAGCAGCTGTCACATTCAATTACAAATGAGATCGTACAGCACGTGATTCTCGTAAAAAAAAGCACGTGACTTACTTGTCCCTGAGAACGGTCCACAACTCTCCCCCGAGACACGCCTCCAGCATCATGTACAGGAACTTCCGGTCCTTGAACGTCTTGTAGAGTCTGTGTTAAAAAGTTTGATCTCTCAATTAGTGGAACAAAATATTTAAATGTAGAGTCTGTGTTAAAAAGTTTGATCTCTCAATTAGTGGAACAAAATATTTAAATGTAGAGTCTGTGTTAAAAAGTTTGATCTCTCAATTAGTGGAACAAAATATTTAAATGTAGAGTCTGCTTTAAAAAGTTTGATCTCTCAATTAGTGGAACAAAATATTTCATACTATGTAGTGGAGGAAACTGACCACTATTGTAATAAAACAAAAATATATTTAGCTCCAAATATTGTAGTTGTGGTACCATCAACACAGAGGCCATGGGAGGACGGGTGGGGCGCCCGTCCGGATGCCGACCCAAAGGGGGCACAGACGTGGTAGAAAAATAAAATAACAAGCTCATTTTGAGTTGCATTACTGAATTATACTTTAACGAAGATGAGAAAATAGAATACTTCTTAGCTTTACAAACTATTTTCTACATCAAGTGTGTTATTCCAACATGGACACTGTTAAGGGCAGTAACAAAGCGCCCGGACTTTTTCAAATTAGATGAGGGAAGGCGGGCGTTTTTCTCCATCGTGAATGAATATACAAATGTGGAAGGGCGCTAAATTGATAGTTCGCCTCTGGCGCCTAATGGGTCTCTAAGCTTCTACATTAACAAAAGCATAATATAAAAGATGAAAAGAGTAACGCCTTTGTCAAGCTGCTGTTTTTTTTTTTTAGTGTCGCGTGTTCGACTTTTCACCAACCGGATGCCGGGAGATATTTGTTTTCTGGACACAGTCGATATGTTGTTGACGGATAACAAATGGTATACGTCACGAATGTGAAAGACCGCCCTAAAAATTCCCCGCCCTACGGCCAAAGTTAGGTCCGCTAGAAGGGGGGGGGGGGGTTCACACTCTAGACTTGCTGGCCACATATCAATATTGGAACTCAACTGTGGGTACGCCAGCTGTTTTAGATAATTCGTTCTTGTCATACAATCGCTTGTAATGATATATATGTTAGAAATTACGATTCCATTATTTTCTCTTATAATGTATAATAATTTGACACAATTTGAAACTTCAATACATGGTTTTGAGTTATTTTTTGGTCTGTTTATATCGTTTATATCAAATGTTCACATGTTAATGCTTCAAAGCTGGAAATCAAACAAAATTATTTATAGAAAATTTCAGCACTAGTTGTATGCCTTAAAGTTAAAAATTTTAAATATCCAATCAATGGAGGCGAGCGAGTTGACGAGATTCCTTCCATAGTGTTGTTGTCATGGAATAAAAACGTGCTTTTTAGATTTAGACCGTAAAAAAAATAAAAAATAAAAACTTAAGCCTAAAATTAATTTAGAAATTTTATATTTTTAGAATAAATGCTATAAAAGTTGCAAATCCAGAGAACTAGAAAATAATTTGTTGAGTTTAAGGCTACATTTCTATTTATTTTCATCAAGCCTAAGTTATAACCGGATGTTTCACTTTCGTAAGACAAATATTGATTGGCTGTACAGTAACTTAGTGATCGATAACTATTTGTTTACAAAACTTTGCAGATCAAGTTTTTAAATAACAATGCAAATTTAAAACCCCATGACCTAGTTTTCTATTTTTAGCTTACAATGTGTACAATAAAATTTTTGTCGGCCTATCCAATAGCAGGATGCCATTGTTTATGTCGCCATTACACGTGAAAACCAAATTGTTTTTGCTTTTTTTTTTAATTTTTATTTAGTTACCGAAAATATTAAAAACATCAAATACGTCCAATCTTTAGTAAAGTCCGAAAAAAACCAGACAGACAGGATTTTATAACCATATTAATTGTAACTACGCCGTGCAAGAATTTTAAATTAATTTATGCACCTCTCAAATACCTTTGAGACTTTTCTCGCTTGTGTCCATTAGCTGGGAAGACAACTCATAGCCCTGTTGATGGCTTTCTGTACCAAACGTTTCCATTTGCTTAGCTTGACATCGAACAGCTTCACTAGGGGCGGTGCCACTTTCGCTACCTACCCTGTTCTAGGGGCGGTGCCACTTTCGCTTACTACCCTGTTCTAGGGGCGGTGCCACTTTCGCTTACTACCCTGTTCTAGATGGCACCAGACTGACTGTTGACCAAACCCCTGATTAAAAGCTCTCTAAAGGTTTGCACAAACTGGAAAATAAACGCTCGGCTCAAGTTAAGTTGCCTCAACACGGGAAACTCAGTGCGTGGCCTCATTAAACCGTTCAGGTATGTTTTGGTGGTTCAACTGTTCAGGTAAGTTTCAGTGGTTTAACCGTTCAGGTATGTTTCGATGGTTAAACCGTTCAGGTAAGTTTCGGTGGTTAAACCGTTCAGGTATGTTTCGGTGGTTTAATCGTTCATGTAAGTTTCGATGGTTAAACCGTTCAGGTATGTTTCGGTGGTTTAACCGTTCATGTAAGTTTCGATGGTTCAACCGCTCAGGTAAGTTTCGGTGGTTCAACCGTTCAGGTAAGTTTCGGTGGTTAAACAGTTCAAGTAAGTTTCGGTGGTTCAACCGCTCAGGTAAGTTTCGGTGGTTCAACCGTTCAGGTAAGTTTCGGTGGTTAAACCGTTCAGGTAAGTTTCGGTGGTTAAACCGTTCAGGTAAGTTTCGGTGGTTCAACCGTTCAGGTAAGTTTCGGTGGTTAAACCGTTCAGGTATGTTTCGGTGGTTCAACCGTTCAGGTAAGTTTCGGTGGTTAAACCGGGCGTTCAGGTATGTTTCGGGTTAAACCGTTCAGGTAAGTTTCGGTGGTTAAACTACCCCAAGGTAAAAAAATGGCAGCAGGTACTTCCTGTTGTTGTGTTTTTAATTTTGATTTCTCTCTACACGTTCGTGTTGGTTAGCTGCACATGTGCTGTCCTCTTTAAATGCCAAAATATCACCTATATTGCAACTTGTATGTTGGCAATTACTTGTTTGCTTTATATTCTCAATTGAAATAGTGTTTAAAATAATTTCTGGTATAATTTACATCAGGTTGATCTACCCGCCACCTAGAGTTTCAGAAGCCCGGGGGGGGGGTGTAATACTTTAGTCAACCTCGGATATTCAACTTAGAACAGTAGACGTCGTGCTGTCTACTTTTATACCTAGACATCAAATCCGTGGAAACGTATGTAGATTTAGGTATATCAGCGTTTTCTGTAGTGACAATTAAGTCACACCCGACTAAATGTGAGAACTTTACCTAACGATAAAATCACACATGAGAATATCTGAGAACCTTACTGGCAATAAAATCACACCTGACTGTATATTACCTGACGATAAAGTCACACCTGACTGTATGTGAGTATCTTACCTGACGATAAAGTCACATCTAGCCTCTATCATAATCTTCTTCTCGTTCATGATGTGCTCCTGTTGTCTAGTCTCAACGATGTGATGTTTCTTTAGAATCTTGAGTGCGTAGGCCCGGCTGTTATCTTCGTTTACTTGCACCTAACAAACATTTCTTGGATTTTATTTTCATGCAACTTTTACTGTTGGCTCTACAATTGTTGTACTTTTAAACAATAAATCTTACATTGTTGTATCATTTTACATTTACTGCTTTTATAGTGTTGTATCTTTTACTGTTTACTTTTACAGCGTTATGTCTTTAAATGATGTATTTTACATTCCATTTGTTACTTTGTTATCATATGTTTTGTATGATACACTGTTGTATCTTACATTTGTCCATGTTGCATAGAAAATATCTTATCGCTTGGCTGTCTACACACAAAATATTAAACGTAAAATTTGTTTTAATGATTCACCATTTTGTAGCTCTAGTGGTTTCTAAATATGTGTAGAGTATATTTCATCTCCCACCCCCACCTCACTGCCTGCCTACGAACAACAACTCTGTCTGAAACAAGGGGAAAGAACTCACCAGTTCCACCCTGCCAAATCCGCCTACACCAAGGGTTGCGATCATCGTCAAGTCGCTCAGTTTTAATTTGGCGTACTCAGAGTCCACGCTGTGGAGAGGAAAATAGAGATTTGATGGTACAGCTTGTACACTGGACACAATATTTGTGGAGTCAGGGTAGGAGTCAGTAATGGGGAAGGCTGCAAGTCAGGGCAGGAGTTAATTCTGAGCGTCAGAGAAAGGTCAGGGTAGGAGTCAGAGATGGGAGTCAGAGAAAGGCTGCAAGTTAGAGGAGTCATAAATTGGAATCAGGAGTCAGAGACAGTACTCCGAGTGGTATAAGGGCCCAGCACGTCGGACACGCCTACCTTTGATCTGCCCTATGCCCATGTACCGATGCCTCTCATCTGCCCTGTGCCCAGCTACCGATGCCTCTCATATGCCCAGGCACTGATGCCTCTCATCTCCCATAACCCATCAGTTTATTTCCCCGTCCCAAGAACTTGATCTGCTCCCGCCTCAGGTAAATTGTAAGAAATCAAATCCGCGACAGATGATGAGCAGCCGATAGCCGATGTTTACCTTTTCACAGGTGAGAAATGGAGCCCACGTCACCCTCCTACACGTCCCCCCCTCCCCCCTCTCCTCCCCTCCTACACTACCCCATCCTGATTTAAATTTTATTCTGCTTTATCTTCAGTCCCTCTTAAAATCCATTTAAATGCCATCCGGATATCAATGGCGTCTTTTGTTTATCGAAATCTTCAGGAACTAATCACATTGCGCGCGTGTTGGTGTTTCGCTATCGCTGGGCGAACCTCTAAAATACATAAGCACATTTTTTATCATAACATTATTTTTAAATGCTTCAAGAGTGATTAATTAATTAATATCCCAATTGATCGTAGCATTACAATTGTTAGAATGACAACTCTTGAGAGAATCAAACAAGATTATTTAAATCCCTGCTAGTTCTCTCCCTTGAAACAAAAAGAAAAGGCTTTTAAGGTGGGCGTGAAAACGATAGATAACGTTACATTATATGTTGAACAAACAAACAAACTAGGTTTTATTTCATTTTACCCTACTATACCGTGTAGAGTACTTCATACAGGAGAATGTGTGTTGTATGATTGTGGTCTCTCACTTCTAATTCTTCCATGTATAGCTTTAACCATAGTCTCCTAAAATGTTTGACTTAAAATAGATCCGGTGTATGTGGCTAACATATTAGGAAATGCAATATTTAGATCAGAGACAATCTCCGGTTATAAATCAAAGCAATTCTCTATTTCGCTATTGAGGTAGAATAGAACAATCAGTTTTTGGCTTTTATATTGGTTGAGGTGGACATATATTTAACCAGATCTGTAGGCCTACAGGAGGGTTGGATCGCGAAAATTGTAAATGTCCTTGAACCATAGACCTCCATTCTCTATGTTTAAAAAATGAGGTCACGTCCGCCTAAATTCCGAGACGCACCGAACTTGTCGAAAGGTGACTGAAAAATGGAAGCAGATGTATGACAGCTTTATCAGGCATAATAATTATTGTTTTTTAATAGCCATTTAATTTTTTGTTTATTGTTTCACAGACGATGTTATTTTAGCAATTGTCTTAGCTTTATTATTTTATGTTATTTACTTTTGGATTAAAATGCCAACGCACAAAGAAATATAAGTAAATAAATAGTTCAGTAAAAGTAAACAAACTATTCTGGAAACAAGAGCAACAGTAGAACAGTGCTGGCAAGAGGCTAGCACACGGAGAAATTGATAGTGGCCGACAGTTTGTCTAAAATCTGGCCAACCAAGGCTGGGAAAGGGCGGGCAAGAAAGAAGACTTTGTTCCCGCTGAATCTGGGCGAAGAGACTGAAATCATCTGTCAACATCTCGGGGACCGTGTGAACAGCAAAGGTGGTTGTAGTATCCGGATTTTTCTCAATGGCTCCCACTGTTTTTTCCAGCAGGGCAGAGTTATCGTTATTATTTAATCTCCTTTCTTTTTTTATAAATCGAAACCAAATTAGTTGCCATTGGTCCGTTACATTCTATTTAATCTCGAGTTTAAAGAGTTCACTGTAGATGTTTTGACCTGATTTAGTGTTGATGTGAGACCGCTAGAGGGATAGGTCTAACAACATCACTGTTGTGTTTCTTTCAGCCTTTCTCGGAGGAAGAGGGATAGCGCCCCCTACCGGCAAACGCCCCCCCCCCCCCCACGGCGAAAACGTCTGAAAGAAACAGTGAGCGAGATTAATTGTGTAAACATGGTGATAGGCTGGGGTGTGAAGGGGTGAGGTGTTAACAGTTTACCCTACCGCCCCCTGTAAACTGTAGGGGTGTTTTAGGGGACAATAGCGCCACCTCTCGACAGGCTAGGTCTCACTCAAATTATCACAAGGGTAATCAGGAGTAATGATACAATCAAATGATACAAAGAAATGATACATTATTCGCTTCTTTATAGTATATATATATATATATATATATATATATATATATATATATATATATATATATATGTATATATTTATATATATATATATATATATATATATATATATATATATATATATATATATATATATATATATATATATTGTATATATTGTATATATTATATATATACAATATATATATATATATATATATATATATAGAGAGAGAGAGAGAGAGAGAGAGGGAGAGAGTAAAACCAAAAGGTATAGTGCATCAAATTACTCATGTGAGCACTATTGTAAAGTGTGTACAAAAAGACTTTGTGTACAGATTGTGTGTACATGTACAAATATGGTGTCAACTTACCCCGCTTTATCTTCTTCGTCTTCATAAATTTGTTTCAAGTTGTCGAGTGTGCTGATTAACTGTAAGTAGGAGCTGTAGAGAGAAAGTACAGTGTTAGTTTTAAATGGGAGCTGTAAATGGGAGTTGTAGATGGGAGCTGTAGAGAGAAAGTACAGCGTTAGTTTTAAATGGGAGTTGTAGATGGGAGCTGTAGATGGGAGCTGTAGAGAGAAAGTACAGCGTTAGTTTTAAATGGGAGCTGTAGATGGGAGCTGTAGATGGGAGCTGTAGATGGGAGCTGTAGATGGGAGCTGTATGTAGGAGCTGTAGAGAGAAAGTACAGCGTTAGTTTTAAATGGGAGCTGTAGATGGGAGCTGTAGATGGGAGCTGTATGTGGGAGCTGTAGATGGGAGCTGTAGATGGGAGCTGTAGATGGGAGCTGTAGATGGGAGCTGTAGAGAGAAAGTACAGCGTTAGTTTTATATGGGAGCTGTAGATGGGAGCTGTAGATGGGAGCTGTAGATGGGAGCTGTATGTGGGAGCTGTAGATGGGAGCTGTAGATGGGAGCTGTAGATGGGAGCTGTAGATGGGAGCTGTAGAGAGAAAGTACAGCGTTAGTTTTATATGGGAGCTGTAGATGGGAGCTGTAGATGGGAGCTGTAGATGGGAGCTGTATGTGGGAGCTGTAGATGGGAGCTGTAGATGGGAGCTGTATGTGGGAGCTGTAGATGGGAGCTGTAGATGGGAGCTGTAGATGGGAGCTGTAGATGGGAGCTGTAGATGGGAGCTGTATGTGGGAGCTGTAGATGGGAGCTGTAGATGGGAGCTGTAGATGGGAGCTGTAGATGGGAGCTGTATGTGGGAGCTGTAGATGGGAGCTGTATGTGGGAGCTGTAGATGGGAGCTGTATGTGGGAGCTGTAGATGGGAGCTGTAGATGGGAGCTGTAGATGGGAGCTGTAGATGGGAGCTGTAGATGGGAGCTGTATGTGGGAGCTGTAGATGGGAGCTGTAGATGGGAGCTGTAGATGGGAGCTGTAGATGGGAGCTGTATGTGGGAGCTGTAGATGGGAGCTGTATGTGGGAGCTGTAGATGGGAGCTGTATGTGGGAGCTGTAGATGGGAGCTGTATGTGGGAGCTGTAGATGGGAGCTGTAGATGGGAGCTGTAGATGGGAGCTGTAGAGAGAAAGTACAGCGTTAGTTTTATATGGGAGCTGTAGATGGGAGCTGTAGATGGGAGCTGTAGATGGGAGCTGTAGGTGGGAGCTGTATGTGGGAGCTGTAGATAGGAGCTGTAGATGGGAGCTGTAGATGGGAGCTGTAGAGAGAAAGTACAGCGTTAGTTTTATATGGGAGCTGTAGATGGGAGCTGTAGAGAGAAAGTAAAACATTATTTGGTATTTGCCTAATGTAACTTTTGTATCGGACTAAATACGATACTTTTGTTTTAAAAGTCACCAAAAGACAATGGTTACTAAATAAGTTTCAACTTATAATGGATTCGATTCTTGGCAGCACATTTTCTGAAAAATTCTAGTATTTAAATACACAACTACCTGATTTCTAGATTTACCTCCCCACCCCTGGAGTTACAGCCCCCGCCATACCCCACCCCTAGTTGTGGCCCCTGCCATACCCCACCCCTAGTTGTGGCCCCTGCCCTCCCCGAGTGCCGGAAGTTCTAGCAAGCAAGATGCCGTGATTACATCATCAAACGAGCCAGGCAATCAATGAGGCGTGAAGACATTTCTTGTTTAATGAACCGTGAACTTGACGGGCATTCGACATGATTTGTCTTCATTAGGCCCATCTTCAAATCTATCTATTTAGATTAAAAACTGCATCAAGAGAAACGAAACAAAACGGTCAAAAACTGGGAAAAGAAATGAGTGAACTGCGTGGGTGTTCTCTAATGTAGTTACCACTGATAGACAACGTGAAGGAGACTGTTAAAATTTTCTAAGAAAAAATGGAGTCTGTACCAACGAAATGGAGAGTTTGGTTGGGCTCTGGATGATGGGAAGGTTTTGGGTGGACTTTGGTCACTTTTATTCTACAGGTATGTGACACATCGCTGGATATTTTTATTGACCTTGTTTAAATACCCCAGTTCGTTTTTGAGCAATTTTATTTTTAAATATCTCGAGAACTGGTAAAACAATTACCAATAAGAAAAATAGTATTATTATTATTAATTGCATTAAAGTTATCGCTTAATGCTACCTAATTGCGTAACTAGACATTCATTTTGTTGATAACATTCCTGAAAAAGTTGATTTTTATAGCATGACCTCAAACCCTCATTAGCATAACCTTCTGGAACTATTTTAATGACGCGATTAGCATAAAAAGTTGATTGTTTAGAGTTGTAAAAAAAATGGGCGGATTGAGGACGGACGTTGAAAGAAAATTGTAACTCTTCAGTTTTAGCATGATGACGTAATAGGGAATGTGTTTACAGAAGTATAGTGACGTCATTTGTCTGACGTATTGTTAGATGTGGCTAGCCTCAGACCGGAAGCTGAATGCTGACCGTGACGTCATGTTAGCGCGAGCAGTTGGTATCACGTGATGGGGTTGTGATTTTTTGAGCAGGTAAACAAGATAAGGTCAGGGAGGTTAACGAATGGCGCGTGCCATTAAGCCCTGCTGTTGTTCTAGAACTCAATGGGCCCATTCTCTAGCGCCACATCCATTGGGTAATCTGACGTTTATATGATCCTCATTCCAAGACAGTGGAGGCTGGTTTTTTACATTCCAAGACAGTGGAGGCTGGTTTTTTACATTCCCAGACAGTAGAGGCTGGTTTTTTACATTCCAAGACAGTGGAGGCTGGTTTTTTACATTCCAAGACAGTGGAGGCTGGTTTTTTACATTCCAAGATAGTGGAGGCTGGTTTTTTACATTCCAAGACAGTAGAGGCTGGTTTTTTACATTCCAAGACAGTGGAGGCTGGTTTTTTACATTCCAAGACAGTAGAGGCTGGTTTTTTACATTCCAAGACAGTGGAGGCTGGTTTTTTACATTCCAAGACAGTAGAGGCTGGTTTTTTACATTCCAAGACAGTGGAGGCTGGTTTTTTACATTCCAAGACAGTGGAGGCTGGGTTTTTACATTCCAAGACAGTGGAGGCTGGTTTTTTACATTCCAAGACAGGGATTTTTTTTTTACTTGGACATTTATTCTAGTTGTGCATTCTTGGGGCTGGTGGTCAAGTTTCTGTTGGTCAAATTACTGCTGGTCAAATCACTGTTGATCAAATTAATGTTGGTCAAGGGGGGGGGCAGGTTCAAACTGATTGCATTTAGTAATTAACTGTTGTGTCCAGGTCCATTCTGAACTTTGATTGCTAAACCGGCCGGATGATTAGGTACATCCGTGAACAAAATAGCCGTAACTAGTTATTGCCTCTGTGGACAGTGTTTCTCTTCTACGGCATCTGGTGTTTTTGGGGGAAATAAATGAAAAACGCTTTGGGTTAGGGTGATGTAAGGACGAGGGCTGTTAAATGGAAGCAACGTTTGGCTTAGATCAATGAAAGGATATTTTATGGAGCTCGGGTTAGGGTTATCGCAAACTATTTTCAAACAACTTAAACTCCTTTGTTTGGAAGAGCTAAAGTTTGTTTGGTAAACTCGTGACGGAATTAGCCAAAACATCTGTTTGAAGGTTTGTTTACATTTTACCTTCAACCGTTGCACGTGATAGGCGAGGTGTAGCCTCGAAAGCAACTCTCCTTTTAACATGCTGAGTACAGAATGTTGCTGATCATGGCTCAGTGTGCCATCTAAGGCAACTATTCTATGAAACATGTTGGGTACAGAATGTTGCTGATCATGGCTCAGTGTGCCATCTAAGGCAACTATTCTATGAAACATGTTGGGTACAGAATGTTGCTGATCATGCCTCAGTGTGCCATCTAAGGCAACTATTCTATGAAACATGCTGGGTACAGAATGTTGCTGATCATGGCTCAGTGTGCCATCTAAGGCAACTATTCTATGAAACATGTTGGGTACAGAATGTTGCTGATCATGGCTCAGTGTGCCATCTAAGGCAACTATTCTATGAAACATGTTGGGTACAGAATGTTGCTGATCATGGCTCAGTGTGCCATCTAAGGCAACTATTCTATGAAACATGCTGGGTACAGAATGTTGCTGATCATGGCTCAGTGTGCCATCTAAGGCAACTATTCTATGAAACATGTTGGGTACAGAATGTTGCTGATCATGGCTCAGTGTGCCATCTAAGGCAACTATTCTATGAAACATGTTGGGTACAGAATGTTGCTGATCATGGCTCAGTGTGCCATCTAAGGCAACTATTCTATGAAACATGCTGGGTACAGAATGTTGCTGATCATGCCTCAGTGTGCCATCTACGACAAGTATTCTGTGAAACATGCTGGGTACAGAATGTCGTGGCACTTGTTGATCATCATTCTATACCTCTACCTGACCTGCCTTGTTCCTAAACACAACCCAGTATCTGCCTCACAGCCATGCTAGTTCTGCCCTTTATCTGCCCTACAGCCATGCTAGTTCTGCCTAGTATCTGCCCTACATCAATGCCCACACTGCCCAGTCTCTGCCCTACAGCCATGCCCACACTGCCCAGTATCTGCCCTACAGCCATGCCCACGCTGCCCATTATCTGCCCTACAGCCATGCCCACACTGCCCAGTATCTGCCCTACAGCCATGCCCACACTGCCCAGTATCTGCCCTACAGCCATGCCCACGCTGCCCAGTATCTGCCCTACAGCCATGCCCACACTGCCCTTTATCTGCCCTACAGCCATGCCCACACTGTCCAGTATCTGCCCTACAGCCATGCCCACACTGCCCTTTATCTGCCCTACAGCCATGCCCACACTGTCCAGTATCTGCCCTACAGCCATGCCCACACTGCCCTTTATCTGCCCTACAGCCATGCCCACACTGTCCAGTATCTGCCCCCCATTAACTGTGAAACAAGGCAGTACTCACTCTCTGTCGATGACCAGACAGTCGACACCGGAAGGGTCAGATGAGATGATGTTTGCTGTTCGCACGTCCTCTCTGTCGAGCAAAAGGTCAAAGGTCAAACAGACAGGATGACGTCACACATGTTAAACATAGGTCAACATATTTCTAACGTCACACGTGTAAAACATAGATCAACATATTTCTGACGTTACACGTGTAAAACATAGATCAACATATTTCTGACGTTACACGTGTAAAACATAGGTCAACATATTTCTGACGTCACACGTGTAAAACATAGATCAACATATTTCTGACGTTACACGTGTAAAACATAGATCAACATATTTCTGACGTTACATTTGTAACATATAGATCTACATATGTGTCACGTTACAAATGTTTATGGAATGTTAGACCACACAAGTGTGATAACAAACATGAAGTAATAAATTCCAAGTAACAAATTCCAAGTTAACAAATATTAAGTAAGAAATTGAAGCCTTAAATCGCTTAAACAAACAGGAGAACCAAGTGTGCTGCTTCTAATCCCGCTGAATTAACTAACCAAATAAACGTATTTTAAGTGTACTTCATTTCAAATTCAGAGCAATTTAATAGTATAATAAAAAAATCTAACGATAAATAACTTCGTTTCAAAATATTAATGATATACTATACATTCTATTGGAATAGATTAGAAGAAAAAAAAACGTTTATTCTCTAGATGGGTTTTTGTTTTTGTTTTTTAAAGCGTTGGGTGATTGAATATCAAAGCTGGTCTGTTGTGTTGGCGTTGGATCGTACAGGTACGTACAGTTCTGGCTAATCAAGCAGACAGTCTGACAGCCTCAATACACTGGAAGGTACGTACAGTTCTGGCTAATCAAGCAGACAGTCTGACAGCCTCAATACACTGGAAGGTACGTACAGTTCTGGCTAATCAAGCAGACAGTCTGACAGCCTCAATACACTGGAAGGTACGTACAGTTCTGGCTAATCAAGCAGACAGTCTGACAGCCTCAATACACTGGAAGGTACGTACAGTTCTGGCTAATCAAGCAGACAGTCTGACAGCCTCAATACACTGGAAGGTACGTACAGTCCTGGCTAATCAAGCAGACAGTCTGACAGCCTCAATACACTGGAAGGTACGTACAGTTCTGGCTAATCAAGCAGACAGTCTGACAGCTTCAATACACTGGAAGGTACGTACAGTTCTGGCTAATCAAGCAGACAGTCTGACAGCCTCAATACACTGGAAGGTACGTACAGTTCTGGCTAATCAAGCAGACAGTCTGACAGCCTCAATACACTGGAAGGTACGTACAGTTCTGGCTAATCAAGCAGACAGTCTGACAGCCTCAATACACTGGAAGGTACGTACAGTTCTGGCTAATCAAGCAGACAGTCTGACAGCCTCAATACACTGGAAGGTACGTACAGTTCTGGCTAATCAAGCAGACAGTCTGACAGCCTCAATACACTGGAAGGTACGTACAGTTCTGGCTAATCAAGCAGACAGTCTGACAGCCTCAATACACTGGAAGGTACGTACAGTTCTGGCTAATCAAGCACACAGTCTGACAGCCTCAATACACTGGAAGGTAGGTACAGTTCTGGCTAATCAAGCACACAGTCTGACAGCCTCAATACACTGGAAGGTACGTACAGTTCTGGCTAATCAAGCACACAGTCTGACAGCCTCAATACACTGGAAGGTACGTACAGTTCTGGCTAATCAAGCACACAGTCTGACAGCCTCAATACACTGGAAGGTACGTACAGTTCTGGCTAATCAAGTACACAGTCTGACAGCCTCAATACACTGGAAGGTACGTACAGTTCTGGCTAATCAAGCACACAGACGCAGACATACAAACAGACATTTACAGGCAATCAAACAGATATTTACAGACAATCAAACAGACATTTACAGACAATCAAACAGATATTTACAGACAATCAATGAGATATTTATAGACAATCAAACTGATATTTTCAGAAAGTCAACTAGACACTAGAATCAGTCACAAAAACACACGCAGGCAATCAAGCACACAGAGGCAGACATTCATACAGACAAGCAGACAGCCACTTGCAGACGAGGCTGAGACAGCAGACGACTCACCCTTGCAGAGCCCGCTCTCCAAAGAAGTCACCTTTTGTCAGCAGACGTATCACCTGCTCCTCCTGGGTCTTGGAATTTCTTTTGGTCACTTTCACCTGTAGGAGAGAGGTCAACAGATCTAGACTAGAGCAAGCTTTATTGCTTTGGTCGAGGCTATCATTTGTCTCACTGGGTTCGTTGGGAAACTTTTCCTACAGTGTAGTTTTTATGTACACAGCTCGTTTTTAGCTCCGTGTGTACCTCATGTTTTAGTCTAGGTTTTAAGCTCCATGTGTACCTCATGTTTTAGTCAAGTTTTGACGAATGTTGCGAGCTGAATATCAAGTATAGGTTTCAGAGTTTCTTCCAGGCATCTCTTAGGGGGGGGGGGGGGGGGGCGAAGAAAGTCTACCGCCCCCCCCCCCCCCCCTTCGTGTTTAGGTTAGGTTTGGGTTTAGTATTGGAAACTGAAGCATACAGAAGCTAACTAAACCTAAAGCTAACCTCAAGTCAAACTTAATAAAGTCAAACATCTCAAAGTCAAGCGTCATATAAGAAAACTTTAAAAATACAAAAATATACATTTATACAAATACAAAAGTACAAAAAAAAACCATTAAAACGACATACAAGCACACAAACAAAATCAGAAACACAATAGTCCAAAATACAGACATCCAAACAGCAAATCAAACAAACACAGACACAAACTGACACGCTGTGCTAAAAACTCGGTGATGTCATAAAGTGTCAAGAGTGACGCTTTAAACAACAATCGATTTCTTTTTCAATATGCTCTAAAAATAAAAACGTTAACTATCTGAATCGTCAATTAGCTGATTACATGGGCTAGTCAAAACTATAGACTATCGTTAATTATGTCTTGTCAGGTCTGGTCAGTGGTGGTCAGCTTGTCAGTACTGACAACTCGGGGTGTTAGGGGTGAAGGGTGTTCATGGAAAAGGGTGAGGGGTAAGAGATGGGTGCTAGGAGAGTCGTGTGTTTCAAAAGTTGGTTGGTGGATGGCGGTAAACGATTGGAGAGTTAGCAGCAGACCAACTGATCTGGTTTCATTGAGTTTTTTTGTTGCTGCTTGTTCGGGCTTATTGGGGAAATGACACCGTGAACTTAAGGCAGCAGGTAAAAGGTAGCAGGTAGCAGGTGTTAGATAGGTAGCAGGTAAAAGGTAGCAGGTATCAGAAAGGTAGCAGGCAGTAGATAGCAAGTAGCAGGTATTAGATAGGTAGCAGGCAGTAGGTAGCAGGTAGCAGGTATTAGATAGGTAGCAGGTAAAAGGTAGCAGGTATCAGAAAGGTAGCAGGCAGTAGATAGCAGGTAGCAGGTATTAGATAGGTAGCAGGCAGTAGGTAGCAGGTAGCAGGTATTAGATAGGTAGCAGGTAAAAGGTAGCAGGTATCAGAAAGGTAGCAGGCAGTAGATAGCGGGTAGCAGGTATCAGAAAGGTAGCAGACAGCAGGTAGCAGGTATCAGAAAGGTAGCAGGCAGTAGATAGCGGGTAGCAGGTATCAGAAAGGTAGCAGACAGCAGGTAGCAGGTATCAGAAAGGTAGCAGGCAGTGGATAGCAGGTAGCAGGTATCAGAAAGGTAGCAGGTAGGTAGCGTGTAGCATCTTTTATCTACCTTCCTGGAGGTGCGTTTAATACTTCAAATAATGGCGCCATTAGCTGTAATTACTAACAGTTACAGAACCAGCTAGCAGAAGTGAATCTTGAGCAGACGATCAACTTTAACCAGCGAGCCCAGGTCGTTAGGGAATTTTAGGGAATTTTGGGGGGAATTAAGGGGAATCTGAAAACACTTGAGGTACTTCTGGCGCTTTGATGTCCCAGCGTGCCGCTAATGTGGGTAAACTGGCTATTACAGTTAATCTTGGTAGTTTTAAGGTGGCAGGTGGGGGTTGTGATAAGGTGACGCCCTGCAGGTGGGGGGCTGTGATAAAGTGAAGCCCTACAAGTGGGGGGCTGTGATAAAGTGACGCCCTGTGGGTGGGGGCTGTGATAAAGTGAAGCCCTACAAGTGGGGGGCTGTGATAAAGTGACGCCCTGTGGGTGGGGGCTGTGATAAAGTGACGCCCTGTGGGTGGGGGCTGTGATAAGGTGACGCCCTATAGGTGGTGTGGATGGTAGCTTTAAGGTGGCGCCCCTGCAGGTGGGGGCTGTGATAAGGTGACGCCCTTCAGGTGGGGGGCTGTGATAAGGTGACGCCCTACAGGTGGGTGGTGGCAGAAATGTAGCTCTTTCTACTGTGTGCCTCTGCAGCACATCTGTTGCGCTATATATATATATATATATATATATATATATATATATATATATATATATATATATATATATATAATCCCAGAGCATACCACGACCCACAACCAGCACGTGCACATGCTGCTCTGGTGAGTACACCGTGAGAGGGTGTAGATCTGTTGCGTACACAAACTGTGTACGCACACGGTTTTGACTAAAATTGTGAATAAACCTGGTACACAAACGCTGTACACAAAAGTTGTACACAAACACTGTACACAAACTCCACCAAAGGAAGATGCTGAGATCACAGAATGAAGAGGATCTAAGACGGGGTTAAAGTTCAACAGATGAAACAGTTGTGTTTCCTGATGCATTAGGGCGTTTTATTTCTGGCGCGTGGTTTAGAGTTTTCTAGAGGGGCGTCAGCTTTCAGGCTTTAGCGGGTTGTTTACATTGGCCTGGGTGAGGGGCCGAACGTACGACTTGATCACATACACAGGGTTCAATACTCCAACTGTAAAGCGTACACAGGGTTCAATGGTCTGTCACAGGGTTCAATGGTCCAAATGTCACACGTACACAGGGTTCAATAGTCCAACTGTCACACGTACACAGGGTTCAATAGTCCAACTGTCACAGGGTTCAATGGTCCAAATGTCACAGGGTTCAATAGTCCAACTGTCACACGTACACAGGGTTCAATGGTCCAAATGTCACAGGGTTCAATAGTCCAACTGTCACAGGGTTCAATAGTCCAACTGTCACACGTACACATGGTTCAATAGTCCAACTGTCACAGGGTTCAATGGTCCAAATGTCACACGTACACAGGGTTCAATAGTCCAACTGTCACAGGGTTCAATGGTCCAAATGTCACACGTACACAGGGTTCAATAGTCCAACTGTCACACGTACACATGGTTCAATAGTCCAACTGTCACAGGGTTCAATGGTCCAAATGTCACACGTACACAGGGTTCAATAGTCCAACTGTCACAGGGTTCAATGGTCCAAATGTCACACGTACACAGGGTTCAATAGTCCAACTGTCACACGTACACAGGGTTCAATAGTCCAACTGTCACAGGGTTCAATGGTCCAAATGTCACACGTACACAGGGTTCAATAGTCCAACTGTCACACGTACACAGGGTTCAATGGTCTGTCACAGGGTTCAATGGTCCAAATGTCACACGTACACAGGGTTCAATAGTCCAACTGTCACACGTACACAGGGTTCAATAGTCCAACTGTCACACGTACACAGGGTTCAATAGTCCAACTGTCACAGGGTTCAATAGTCCAACTGTCACACGTACACATGGTTCAATAGTCCAACTGTCACAGGGTTCAATAGTCCAACTGTCACAGGGTTCAATGGTCCAAATGTCACACGTACACAGGGTTCAATAGTCCAACTGTCACACGTACACAGGGTTCAATAGTCCAACTGTCACACGTACACATGGTTCAATAGTCCAACTGTCACAGGGTTCAATAGTCCAACTGTCACAGGGTTCAATGGTCCAAATGTCACACGTACACAGGGTTCAATAGTCCAACTGTCACACGTACACAGGGTTCAATAGTCCAACTGTCACACGTACACAGGGTTCAATAGTCCAACTGTCACAGGGTTCAATAGTCCAACTGTCACACGTACACATGGTTCAATAGTCCAACTGTCACAGGGTTCAATAGTCCAACTGTCACACGTACACATGGTTCAATAGTCCAACTGTCACAGGGTTCAATAGTCCAACTGTCACACGTACACATGGTTCAATAGTCCAACTGTCACACGTACACATGGTTCAATAGTCCAACTGTCACAGGGTTCAATAGTCCAACTGTCACACGTACACAGGGTTCAATAGTCCAACTGTCACACGTACACATGGTTCAATAGTCCAACTGTCACAGGGTTCAATAGTCCAACTGTCACACGTACACATGGTTCAATAGTCCAACTGTCACAGGGTTCAATAGTCCAACTGTCACACGTACACAGGGTTCAATAGTCCAACTGTCACACGTACACATGGTTCAATAGTCCAACTGTCACAGGGTTCAATAGTCCAACTGTCACACGTACACATGGTTCAATAGTCCAACTGTCACAGGGTTCAATAGTCCAACTGTCACACGTACACATGGTTCAATAGTCCAACTGTCACACGTACACATGGTTCAATAGTCCAACTGTCATAGGGTTCAATAGTCCAACTGTCACAGGGTTCAATAGTCCAACTGTCACACGTACACAGGGTTCAATAGTCCAACTGTCACACGTACACATGGTTCAATAGTCCAACTGTCACAGGGTTCAATAGTCCAACTGTCACAGGGTTCAATAGTCCAACTGTCACACGTACACATGGTTCAATAGTCCAACTGTCACAGGGTTCAATGGTCCAAATGTCACACGTACACAGGGTTCAATAGTCCAACTGTCACACGTACACATGGTTCAATAGTCCAACTGTCACAGGGTTCAATGGTCCAAATGTCACACGTACACAGGGTTCAATAGTCCAACTGTCACACGTACACAGGGTTTAATAGTCCAACTGTCACACAAACACAGGGTTCAATAGTCCAACTGTCACAGGGTTCAATAGTCCAACTCTCGTATGTACACAGGGTTCAATAATCCAACTGTCACACAAATACAGGGTTCAATAGTCCAACTGGTGTAACGTGAATGTGGATGTGGATGTTGAAGACGTGGATGTGGATGTTGTAGAATTGTATGACTTGTCTCACCTTGCCGCGTGCTATGATATAGAACGTGTCCCCCCTGGCGCCCTGTCGTATGATGTACTCGCCATTGTTGTAGTGGGCCTGAAATAACAAAACAGCTTTTTTACTCAGTGAAATAATAATGGCCTTCTTACACTGGTTTAACACACTCAAATAATAATGGCCTTCTTACACGGGTTTAACACACTCAAATAATAATGGCCTTCTTACACGGGTTTAACACACTCAAATAATAATAGCCTTCTTACACTGGTTTAACACACTCAAATAATAATGGCCTTCTTACACTGGTTTAACACACTCAAATAATAATAGCCTTCTTACACTGGTTTAACACACTCAAATAATAATAGCCTTCTTACACTGGTTTAACACACTCAAATAATAATGGCCTTCTTACACTGGTTTAACACACTCAAATAATAATGGCCTTCTTACAATGGTTTAACACACTCAAATAATAATGGCCTTCTTAACAAGCTCAAATAATAATGGCCTTCTTAACAAACTCAAATAATAATGGCCTTCTTAACAAACTCAAATAATAATGGCCTTCTTAACAAGCTCAAATAATAATGGCCTTCTTACACTGGTTTAACAAGCTCACATAATAATGGCCTTTTTACACTGGTTTAACACACTCAAATAATAATGGCCTTCTTACAATGGTTTAACACACTCAAATAATAATGGCCTTCTTAACAAGCTCAAATAATAATGGCCTTCTTAACAAACTCAAATAATAATGGCCTTCTTAACAAGCTCAAATAATAATGGCCTTCTTACACTGGTTTAACAAGCTCACATAATAATGGCCTTTTTACACTGGTTTAACACACTCAAATAATAATGGCCTTCTTACACTGGTTTAACAAACTCAAATAATAATGGCCTTCTTACATTACTGAACTGGTTTAACACACTCAAATAATAATGGTCTTCTTACACTGGTTTAACACAATCAAATAATAATGGCCTTCTTACACTGGTTTAACACACTCAAATAATAATGGCCTTCTTACACTGGTTTAACACACTCAAATAATAATGGCCTTCTTACACTGGTTTAACAAGCTCAAATAATAATGGTCTTCTTACATTGGTTTAACAAGCTCAAATAATAATGGCCTTCTTACAATGGTTTAACACACTCAAATAATAATGGCCTTCTTACAATGGTTTAACACAATCAAATAATAATGGCCTTCTTACAATGGTTTAACACACTCAAATAATAATGGCCTTCTTAACAAGCTCAAATAATAATGGCCTTCTTACACTGGTTTAACACACTCAAATAATAATGGCCTTCTTAACAAGCTCAAATAATAATGGCCTTCTTACACTGGTTTAACACACTCAAATAATAATGGCCTTCTTAACAAGCTCAAATAATAATGGCCTTCTTACACTGGTTTAACACACTCAAATAATAATGGCCTTCTTAACAAGCTCAAATAATAATGGCCTTCTTACACTGGTTTAACACACTCAAATAATAATGGCCTTCTTAACAAGCTCAAATAATAATGGCCTTCTTACACTGGTTTAACAAGCTCAAATAATAATGGCCTTCTTACATTACTGAACTGGTTTAACACACTGATATAATAATGCCCTTCTTACATTACTGAAGTGGTTTAATGAGAATGACATTTCCACGTTATTGTGTGAAATATCATGGGGGTGGGGGCGATTAAACTCATGTAATCGTCATTGGATGCTTTAAAAATTGGATAAATAATGGAAAGCGTGAGCTCATTGTAGACACATTTTTTGTGAATTAGGCCACAACATAGGTCCAGTGGGTTCAATGGCAAGCGGTAATGTACTAATGTGAGGTCTCGGAATATTCTAGAGAGGCTGTGTAAGACCTTGGCTTAACCTTCGTTCATCTGTAGTCTAATAGTCTAATCCTACTCATTTTTGTTCCTGACCGACTTGTCACGTAGGCCTAAAAGTTATTTTACCCTTGTTACCAGCAGGTAGCTCAAGATAAACTCTACTTCCTCTGACTTTTCTGGTACTTCTGAACGAACATTTCTTGGTGAATGTTTTAAGTGATCAACCAGTGGCTTGTTTAAATGATCAATGCTACCTACCTGTAACTAAAAACAGTATTCATTGCTCCTATAGCTAAAACATCCTACCCACACTACATCTATTGCTCAAACAATCTAACCCACATTATAACTACGGATAAAACATCCTTTCTCCCCCCCTCCCCCCCCCCCCCCATTATAACTACGACTAAAACATCCTTACCTCCTCCAAGACATCCGCTATTTTGCTCAAAGTTTCCTCAGGCAAACCTTTAAATGTTGGAACACTGAAACAAGACAAAGTTCTGGTTTATTCAAGTTCGTGTTATTCAAATATTTCGCTGACCTGCTAGTCTACTAAACGGAATCAAATTGGAACCAAATTAGTTAAAAAAACAATATACACAACACAGGGGAAACTGTTGAGGCAATTTCGTTAACATGTAGATCGACCAATAGACAAGTAGATCGACCAATAGACAAGTTGATCGACCAATAGACAAGTTGATCGACCAATAGACAAGTTGATCGACCAATAGACAAGTTGATCGACCAATAGACAAGTTGATCGACCAATAGACAAGTTGATCGACCAATAGACATGGAGATTGACCGTGAACGTGTAGATCAGCTCAAACGCCAAGACTGTCTCAGTAAAGCAGACATCGAACAAGCCGTTTTTTACATGGAGATCTATCGCGGTTGTCCAAGTTGGTGTGACGATCTGATACAGGAGAACTTTAACATTCTCCGCATGTCTTGTCCGGTAACTAGAGCAACCCAATACGTCATCGACGGTGCCAGCACATCTGGTCAGCATCAAATCATACCGGCCATTACGGCGAACACAAGGGGCCAGCACCATGTCCTACCGTCCATCACGGCCAACACAAGGGGCCAACACAAGGGGCCAACACAAGGGGCCAACACAAGGGGCCAACACAAGGGGCCAACACAAGGGGCCAACACAAGGGGCCAACACAAGGGGCCAACACAAGGGGCCAACACAAGGGGCCAACACAAGGGGCCAACACAAGGGGCCAACACAAGGGGCCAACACAAGGGGCCAACACAAGGGGCCAACACAAGGGGCCAACACAAGGGGCCAACACAAGGGGCCAGCACCATGCCCTACCGTCCAGAGATTTATGGAAGGGAGACAATCGTGTGAGAAGGGAACTAACCTCCGCAGGAAATCCATATGTTCTGTATGTCGTAACAGACCAGTTCTCATCATAATACTCTGGAAACTTTGTCTGTCTATGGCCCATAACTTGCAGTCAGTCAGTGCTGTGGCAGAAGTAAAAAGGTTTTTTAGATGTCATGACGTCAGTGCTATGGCAGAAACTATTTTTAAAAACTAAGTTTAGTTATGACATGAATTTACGTTAAAAAAATATTTTAAATTTAAACAGAGGATATGAAACGTGTACTCTTATATTTTATTGAGGAGTGTAAAATTAGGTCAGGTCATTTATAATTTGCAGGAAAATTTATGTTTTGTGGTACCATCAACCCTAGCTTAAGTGTTGAGTCTTTACCCCCCCCCCCCCCCTCCTCAGAGATACACAGAAGAAAATATTTTTATCGCCATTTTAAAATTTTTACTGCTCTACTTTTCTCTGAACGTAAACAGCTTGAAATACCGTCTTCATGAGGTGCTCTGGCTACATAAAGCACACAACGTCTTTGTATGGCTAAACAAAATGGCTACCTAGCTAAATTATGCGGCTACCTCACTAAACAATAAGGCTACCTACCAAAACATTTAAAGCTACCTAACTTAACATCAAGGCTGCCTACCAAAGCATTTAAAGCTACCTAACTCTACATTAAGGCTACCAAACTATACAACAAGGCTACCTACCAAAACATTTAAAGCTACCTGACTAAACAAAAATAAGGCTACCTAACTTTAAGGCTACCTACCTTTGACTGTAGCGGTTCTGGTACAGTTGTATAAAATGGCCAACTCCCCAAACACCTTCCCCGCCCCCATTAGAGTTAGCCATTGTCCTTCTTTCGTCACCTCCACCTTGCCCTCTGTGGAAGAAACGGTCAGAAATTAGACCAGCTTGGCTTGACATTACCTCATGACTTAACATCCTAAACACACTCCAAATGTGGAAGTTTTAGGATTGACCTTCAGTGGACAGATAGGCGAGGGTTGCTGCAAATAACGCAACAAGACTTCAAATTTCTGACAGCGGTACTACCGCAGTCCCCTCAGAACTGATGGCATCAAGGTCTCATTCCTGTGGTTCTTTTACTTTCTCGTATATACGAAGTAGGCCGAAAGTCTTATAATCGTGCAAAAAAAATCGACATTTTTGCAAATCTCGACGTTTTACAGCTCCCTGAGTCGGAAAAACATAGTTTTTCAATCTTGTCCGTATGTGTGTGTGTGTGTGTGTGTGTGTGTGTGTGTGTGTAAACACGATAACTTGAGTACCGTTACAGCTAGGTTGATAAAATTTCATATATAAGTATTATATCAAAATCGTAGATCCATATCAACTTTTGAGCGATTTCCAATAACCGGAAGTGGAACTTTTTCTACTTTGAATTTTTCAAAAGCCTATAACTTGAGTACTATTTCAGATAGATAAATGAAATTTCACATGTAAGTAAAAGATTTAATTCTCTACCTTCTGTTAAATTTTGAGTCATTTCTGTTGACCGGAAATAGTAATTTTCGCTATTTCCGATTTCTCAAAAAACTCATGTGAATTTATAAAGTACTAATAATATACGGCACATTTTATTCGGCGTTCACTTGGTGTGCAATTCTTTTATTCTACGAGATTTTATTCTATTTTAAAAAGTTTAAGTATTTAAAATGGATTCAAAATCATGTCTATATCCCAAGTTGCCATCTCCTGTTGTTTCATATAAGAATATTCGAGAAAGTTTAGGGGAGATCACTCCCGGTTTATTTTATTACATAACATGTTTTCTTCGCTCAGTTTAAATTGAACCAACATCAGTTCGTGGTCCAGTATACTGCGGGCTAACTGTATAATTTAACCTTAACCTTAACCCGATCGTGGTCCACCACCTTCATCTGACCCGCTAGTTGTACACTAAACCTAACCCATGATCCACCTCAACTGACCCGCTAGTTGTACACTAACCCTAACCCATGATCCATATCAACTGACCCGCTAGTTGTACCACTAACCCTAACCCATGATCCACCTCAACTGATTGGTCTTTAACATGCCAGGTTAGCACCCGGCAACTTTCTGACACGGCCAGATTTTTTAACACTTCCATTTTTCTCTCAACTTCCGGCCTGTCGGACTGAATGACAGACACGTGTTTATCAGACGTGGCAGACATTTTATCCACCAGTCCAAATGGCACTTATTTAGCCCGGCGTGGTAGGTTTAAAATGTGGCTTAAATTTATCAAAGAACAACTGGCTGCTCATTAGTTAAATACACGTGATAATTATAGGTTAAGCTCAGGTGACTGCTAATTCAAATCAATAATTAGGAAATTTTAGAGGTAGAAACATTAAGTCTCTAAAAATGCTTTAGGAACTATCCCATAATAATCGGAATGTTTAGGTTTTCAATTTTAAACTTTAATTTTCAGAATGGCAAGGATTTTACTTCGACAGTGGGACGTACATACGTTACATTACCGCTGGGTTGTTAAGTCTTTGCTCAGTTTGAGGTGCATGTCAAGGTCAAGGTTGGCTGAGTTTGGGTCGTATCTGAAGGACACGCCCACCTGTGTTTCTTTCAGCAAGCTTATTTCTCCGAGGGGGGGGGGTCATTTAAAATTTTCAGGGGGGAGGGTGGAGGACACTGTTAAAAGTAAATATTTTCTATGTAAATTATATTTCGTTCGGTGGAGGGGGGGGGGGCGGTAGACGGTACCACCCGAAGAGATGCCTAAAACAAACTCTGACCCCCACATCAACATGTTGATGTTTTAATGCAGCGTTGGATGTTGAGTGTATAAAAAAAAAACATCAAGATTCCACGGCGGTGGAAGAAAAAATCCTTGAGTGACGAAGTTGTTCCTCAGGAATCTCAAGACTTGGTACATCTGGTCGGTTCTAGTTTCTATTTTAGTTTTTATTGGGGGATAGGGGTCGGTTGAAATGTAAATATTCAAAGTTAAAACGTTCAAGAATTTTCAGCGTTGTAACACGGCTATCACGTGACCTGTCATACATGGCTGACCATGCAAGTGGGGTGGATTAATAACACCTGGACATATCCATGGCTAATCTCTCTCTAATCCACCATCGGTTTTCATCTTTCATTAATCTCTGATGTTTGGGTTCGTAGGTGTGTGGTTGTAGGTGTGTGGTTGTAGGTGTGTGGTTGTAGGGGTGTGGTTGTAGGTGTGTGGTTGTAGGTGTGTGGTTGTAGGTGTGTGGTTGTAGGGGTGTGGTTGTAGGTGTGTGGTTGTAGGTGTGTGGTTGTAGGTGTGTGGTTGTAGGTGTGTGGTTGTAGGGGTGTGGTTGTAATGGTGTGGTTGTAATGGTGTGGTTGTAGGTGTGTGGTTGTAGGTGTGTGGTTGTAGGGGTGTGGTTGTAGGTGTGTGGTTGTTGGTGTGTGGTTGTTGGTGTGTGGTTGTAGGTGTGTGGTTATAGAGGTGTGGTTGTAGGGGTGTGGTTGTTGGTGTGTGGTTGTAGGTGTGTGGTTGTAGGGGTGTGGTTGTAGGGGTGTGGTTATAGAGGTGTGGTTGTAGGGGTGTGGTTATAGAGGTGTGGTTGTAGGGGTGTGGTTATAGAGGTGTGGTTGTAGGTGTGGTTGTAGGTGTGTGGTTGTTGATGTGTGGTTATAGAGGTGTGTGGTTGTAGGTGTGTGGTTGTAGGTGTGTGGTTGTAGGTGTGTGGTTGTAGGTGTGTGGTTGTAGGTGTGTGGTTGTAGGTGTGTGGTTGTAGGTGTGTGGTTGTAGGGGTGTGGTTGTAGGTGTGTGGTTGTAGGTGTGTGGTTGTAGGTGTGTGGTTGTAGGGGTGTGGTTGTAGGTGTGTGGTTGTAGGTGTGTGGTTGTAGGTGTGTGGTTGTAGGTGTGTGGTTGTAGGGGTGTGGTTGTAATGGTGTGGTTGTAATGGTGTGGTTGTAGGTGTGTGGTTGTAGGGGTGTGGTTGTAGGTGTGTGGTTGTTGGTGTGTGGTTGTTGGTGTGTGGTTGTAGGTGTGTGGTTATAGAGGTGTGGTTGTAGGGGTGTGGTTGTTGGTGTGTGGTTGTAGGTGTGTGGTTGTAGGGGTGTGGTTGTAGGGGTGTGGTTATAGAGGTGTGGTTGTAGGGGTGTGGTTATAGAGGTGTGGTTGTAGGGGTGTGGTTATAGAGGTGTGGTTGTAGGTGTGGTTGTAGGTGTGTGGTTGTTGATGTGTGGTTATAGAGGTGTGTGGTTGTAGGTGTGTGGTTGTAGGTGTGTGGTTGTAGGTGTGTGGTTGTAGGTGTGTGGTTGTAGGTGTGTGGTTGTAGGTGTGTGGTTGTAGGTGTGTGGTTGTAGGGGTGTGGTTGTAGGGGTGTGGTTGTAGGGGTGTGGTTATAGAGGTGTGGTTGTAGGTGTGGTTGTAGGTGTGTGGTTGTTGATGTGTGGTTATAGAGGTGTGGTTGTAGGGGTGTGGTTGTTGGTGTGTGGTTGTAGGTGTGGTTGTAGGGGTGTGGTTGTAGGGGTGTGGTTATAGAGGTGTGGTTGTAGGGGTGTGGTTATAGAGGTGTGGTTGTAGGGGTGTGGTTGTAGGGGTGTGGTTGTAGGGGTGTGGTTATAGAGGTGTGGTTGTAGGGGTGTGGTTGTAGGGGTGTGGTTATAGAGGTGTGGTTGTAGGGGTGTGGTTATAGAGGTGTGGTTGTAGGGGTGTGGTTATAGAGGTGTGGTTGTAGGGGTGTGGTTGTAGGGGTGTGGTTATAGAGGTGTGGTTGTAGGGGTGTGGTTATAGAGGTGTGGTTGTAGGGGTGTGGTTATAGAGGTGTGGTTGTAGGGGTGTGGTTGTAGGGGTGTGGTTGTAGGGGTGTGGTTGTAGGGGTGTGGTTGTAGGGGTGTGGTTGTAGGGGTGTGGTTGTAGGGGTGTGGTTGTAATGGTATGGTTACAGGAGTGAGGTTGGAGGTGTGTGGTTGTTGATGTGTAGTTATAGAGGTGTGTGGTTGTAGGTGCCTGATTGTAGGGGTGTTGTTGTAATGGTGCGGTTATAGGGGTGTGGTTGGAGGTGTGTGGTTGGAGGTGTGTGGTTGGAGGTGTGTGGTTGTATATGTGTCTGTAGGTGTGTATAAGTTTTTGGCTCTATGTTGTTGTTGCCTGTGGTTGGTGTGTGTAATGCTGTCACGCGTCTGTTTAGTTGATTGTTTTCACTCTACTTGAAGTAAACAAACTCTAATGACATCACTCGTCTGTTTAGTTGATTGTTTTCACTCTACTTGTAGTAAACAAACTCTAATGACATCACGAGATCAACAAATCCGCTACAATTTTTGTTACGTCCTTTACCTTCCCATGTTTTTTTCTTATCGAACCAACAAATTTGTTGAATGTTAGAAATCTGTTTCACCAGATTAACTAATCAGCCGTGACTTTTAATGGACAGAAGTCGAACATTTGAAATGTTCTTAAAACACTTAAAAATTAAAATCAGTAGCGTAGAATAAATTACGTCTTTGGATTTTAATTTTTTTTCTCATGAATTTTGTTTTTAATTTAAAACTAAAATTTTCCCATACTGCAAGTACCTACAGCTAGAGAACAGACAAACGGAACACCCGATCAACATTTTCTTTCACTAGCAGGTGTCATTATTTATTTTAAATACGATTTTAATTTTAGATTAAAATATTTTGTTGCACTAGATTTCAGCAATCGTCAATATTAAGCGACCATCATTAAGCTAGTACACAACATATCCCCATTCCCCACGACAAAGAAACTGAATAAGGATATATTAGACAAATGCTCAAGATGTTTGAGTGCGTTTTTTCAAATATTGAGTGGTGGGGGGGGGGGGGTGCAAGAAAAAATATTCACCTGATGAGAGATAACTATCAATTTCTCAAATGACTATTTGCATTATTACATGGGAATATTTCATGGGAATATAGTTCTGCCGATAGAACAAAATAGTGAGAGTACACCTGTGAAGTGAGAGTACACCTGTGAAGTGAGAGTACACCTGTGAAGTGAGAGTACACCTGTGAAGTGAGAGTACACCTGTGAAGTGAGAGTACACCTGTGAAGTGAGAGTACACCTGTGAAGTGAGAGTACACCTGTGAAGTGAAGTGAGAGTACGCCTGTGAAGTGAGAGTACACCTGTGAAGTGAGAGTACACCTGTGAAGTGAAGTGAGAGTACGCCTGTGAAGTGAGAGTACACCTGTGAAGTGAGAGTACACCTGTGAAGTGAAGTGAGAGTACACCTGTGAAGTGAGAGTACACCTGTGAAGTGAAGTGAGAGTACACCTGTAAAGTGAGAGTACACCTGTGAAGTGAGAGTACACCTGTGAAGTGAGGGTACACCTGTGAAGTAAAGTGAGAGTACACCTGTGAAGTGAGAGTACACCTGTGAAAAGAAGTGAGAGTACACCTGTGAAGTGAAGTGAGAGTACACCTGTGAAGTGAAGTGAGAGTACACCTGTGAAGTGAAGTGAGAGTACACCTGTGAAGTGATGTGAGAGTACACCTGTGAAGTGAGAGTACACCTGTGAAGTGAAGTGAGACTACAGCTGTGAAGTGAGGGTACACCTGTGAAGTAAAGTGAGAGTACACCTGTGAAGTGAGAGTACACCTGTGAAGTGAAGTGAG